ACATGATAAGAATCAGGGTAAGTGTTTCTACAGACAAGTAGGACATGATAAGAATCAGGGTAAGTGTTTCTACAGACAATTAGAGCATGATAAGAATCAGGGTAAGTGTTTCTACAGACAAATAGGGCATGATAAGAATCAGGGTAAGTGTTTCTACAGACAAATAGGACATGATAAGAATCAGGGTAAGTGTTTCTACAGACAACAAATAGGGCATGATAAGAATCAGGGTAAGTGTTTCTACAGACAAATAGGACATGATAAGAATCAGGGTAAGTGTTTCTACAGACAAATAGGGCATGATAAGAATCAGGGTAAGTGTTTCTACAGACAAATTAGGGCATGATAAGGATCAGGGTAAGTGTTTCTACAGACAAGTAGGACATGATAAGAATCAGGGTAAGTGTTTCTACAGACAATTAGGGCATGATAAGAATCAGGGTAAGTGTTTCTATAGACAAATAGTGCATGATAAGAATCAGGGTAAGTGTTTCTACAGACAATTAGGGCATGATAAGAATCAGGGTAAGTGTTTCTACAGACAAATAGGGCATGATAAGAATCAGGGTAAGTGTTTCTACAGACAATTAGGGCATGATAAGAATCAGGGTAAGTGTTTCTACAGACAATTAGGGCATGATAAGAATCAGGGTAAGTGTTTCTACAGACAATAGGACATGATAAGAATCAGGGTAAGTGTTTCTACAGACAATTAGGGCATGATAAGAATCAGGGTAAGTGTTTTCTACAGACAATTAGGACATGATAAGAATCAGGGTAAGTGTTTCTACAGACAATTAGGGCATGATAAGAATCAGGGTAAGTGTTTCTACAGACAATTAGGACATGACAAGAATCAGGGTAAGTGTTTCTACAGACAAATAGATGATAAGAATCAGGGTAAGTGTTTCTACAGACAATTAGGGCATGATAAGAATCAGGGTAAGTGTTTCTACAGACAATTAGGGCATGATAAGAATCAGGGTAAGTGTTTTCTACAGACAATTAGAGCATGATAAGAATCAGGGTAAGTGTTTCTACAGACAATTAGGACATGATAAGAATCAGGGTAAGTGTTTCTACAGACAATTAGAGCATGATAAGAATCAGTGTAAGTGTTTCTACAGACAAATAGAGCATGATAAGAATCAGTGTAAGTGTTTCTACAGACAAATAGAGCATGATAAGAATCAGGGTAAGTGTTTCTACAGACAAATAGAGCATGATAAGAATCAGGGTAAGTGTTTCTACAGACAATTAGGGCATGATAAGAATCAGGGTAAGTGTTTCTACAGACAAGGAGGACATGATAAGAATCAAAGTAAGTGTTTCTACAGACAAATAGGGCATGATAAGAATCAGGGATAGTGTTTCTACAGACAATTAGAGCATGATAAGAATCAGGGTAAGTGTTTCTACAGACAATTAGAGCATGATAAGAATCAGGGTAAGTGTTTCTACAGACAATTGAGAATCAGGCATGATATAGAATCAGGGTAAGTGTTTCTACAGACAATTAGAGCATGATAAGAATCAGGGTAAGTGTTTCTACAGACAAATAGAGCATGATAAGAATCAGGGTAAGTGTTTCTACAGACAAATAGAGCATGATAAGAATCAGGGTAAGTGTTTCTACAGACAAATAGAGCATGATAAGAATCAGTGTAAGTGTTTCTACAGACAAATAGAGCATGATAAGAATCAGGGTAAGTGTTTCTACAGACAATTAGAGCATGATAAGAATCAGTGTAAGTGTTTCTACAGACAAGTAGAACATGATAAGAATCAAAGGTAGTGTTTTCTAGACAATGATAAGAATCAGGGTTAGTGTTTCTACAGACAATTAGAGCATGATAAGAATCAGGGTAAGTGTTTCTACAGACAAGTAGGACATGATAAGAATCAGGGTAAGTGTTTCTACAGACAAATAGGACATGATAAGAATCAGGGTAAGTGTTTCTACAGACAATAGATAAGACATGATAAGAATCAGGGTAAGTGTTTCTACAGACAAGTAGGACATGATAAGAATCAGGGTAAGTGTTTCTACAGACAAATAGGACATGATAAGAATCAGGGTAAGTGTTTCTACAGACAAAAAGGGCATGATAGGGATCAGGGTAAGTGTTTCTACAGACAATTAGGGCATGATAAGAATCAGGGTAAGTGTTTCTACAGACAATTAGGGCATGATAAGAATCAGGGTAAGTGTTTCTACAGACAAATAGGACATGATAAGAATCAGGGTAAGTGTTTCTACAGACAATTAGAGCATGATAAGAATCAGGGTAAGTTTTTCTACAGACAAGTAGGACATGATAAGAATCAGGGTAAGTGTTTCTACAGACAAAAAGGGCATGATAAGAATCAGGGTGAGTGTTTTTCTACAGACAAATAGGGCATGATAAGAATCAGGGTAAGTGTTTCTACAGACAAATAGGGCATGATAAGAATCAGGGTAAGTGTTTCTACAGACAAATAGGACATGATAAGAATCAGGGTAAGTGTTTTCTACAGACAAATAGGGCATGATAAGAATCAGGTAAGTGTTTCTACAGACAAAAAGGGCATGATAAGAATCAGGGTAAGTGTTTCTACAGACAAATAGGACATGATAAGAATCAGGGTAAGTGTTTCTACAGACAAAAGGGTACATGATAAGAATCAGGGTAAGTGTTTCTACAGACAAGTAGGGCATGATAAGAATCAGGGTAAGTGTTTCTACAGACAAATAGGGCATGATAAGAATCAGGGTAAGTGTTTCTACAGACAAGTAAATGATAAGAATCAGGGTAAGTGTTTCTGATCAATGATAAGAATCAGGGTAAGGCTACAAAAGAGCAGGGTAAGATTACTACAGACAATTAGGGCATGAATGAGTACTTTGAATCACTGATAAGATTGCAGGGTATGTAATGCAGTGGATTCTATTGTTGAGTGCCTCGACAATGAGAAGGCATGATCAACTGGCAAAGGTGCGATCAGGGTAAGTGTTTCATTAAAATCAGCACAAACAAGATGACTAGGGCATTATAACAGACCAGATCAAGTCATTATCCTCCGCCTCAGAACAAGGTACAACCGATTACGTAACCACATGTACACAAAATTCAAGATAGGTGTATCAGCCATGTGCACCTGTGGAAATGTGCCCCAGACAGCAGAGCATGTACTCCAGGACTGCACCGATTTTGACACATTAGGGCAAACCTTTTGGCCAGAAAGAACAACAGTGGAACGTAAACTCTATGGACCACTGAATGAACTAAGAACGACAGTGAAATTTATACAAGAGACAAAACTGCTGATATAGACAACTTATTTCAGGCGAACGAAAGAAGAAGAGAATGTGGGTGTGTTTCTACAGACGGTTTGTTTCTTTTAGTATCCAAAAGCCATGAGTTGTTAACCCTTAGGCTCGGTATTATGGATAACGCAACCTTTCGGCCTTGATTCCATTGTAAATACCCCCGGGACTGAACCCGGACCACAAGGAGTTCGTCACCCGGTCTCCCGGCGCAATCCGGTTTAGCCAACTACGCTAGAGAGCCGGGCGTTTCTACCGACAAATAGGACATGACAACAATCAGGGTAAGTGTTTCTATAGACAAATAGGACATGATAAGAATCAGGGTAAGTGTTTCTATAGACAAATAGGACATGATAAGAATCAGGGTAAGTGTTTCTATAGACAAATAGGACATGATAAGAATCAGGGTAAGTGTTTCTATAGACAAATAGGACATGATAAGAATCAGGGTAAGTGTTTCTACAGACAAATAGGACATGACAAGAATCAGGGTAAGTGTTTCAATAGACAAAAAGGACATGATTAGAATCAGTGTGTTTCTACAAATAGAATATGATCATAATCAGGGTAAGTGTTTCTAAAGACAAACAAGACATGATCATAACTAGGGTAAGTGTTTCTAAAGACAAACAAGTCATGATCAAAATCAGGGTAGGTGTTTTTAAAGACAAACAAGACACGATGAGAATCAGGGTAAGTGTTTCATAAGCCTCTTGTTGTGTTTCTTAATTAAAATCCTATTACTTATCTATGCACAAAACTGTTCATGCCAACTAATCATATTTCACTAATAGCTTCCATGTTTGGTCTCAAAGAGTGATCCCCATTTTATTTATTCCCTTTATAAAATTCAGAGCGGCCCAAGCAAGTATCCCCTACTTTTTATAACTTTTTACTTTGTTTCATTTCACTACATAATATCTCAATACTTTTATGTAGTAACTGTAGTCAGTTCATGTGTGTGTGTGTGCGCACACATGTGTGCAGGTGTGTGCACATGTGTGTGTGTGTGTGTGTGTGTGTGTGTGTGTGTGTGTGTGTGTGTGTGCTTTCAGCAACAGCAACTGTTTGGCTCCATTCTCTGCAATACCTGCCCAGGGTGATTATTACCTGAGTGTGCTGTTGCATTTCTTTCTGGTGCCTCTATCCCTTCAGAAAATGTCTCTAAGTGCAGTTAACGTCTCTTAAGTTCGTTTGTTCATTCTCTTATAACACGTCTCTTAGTGCAGTTAACGTCTCTTAAGTTCGTTTGTTCATTCTCTTATAAAATGTCTCTTAAGTTTGTTTGTTCATTCTCTTACAACACGTCTCTTAGTGCAGCTAAAATCTCTTAAGTTTGTTCATTCTCTTATAACACATCTCTTAGTGCAGTTAACGTCTCTTTTAAGTTTGTTTGTTCATTCTCTTATAAAATGTCTCTTAAGTTTGTTTGTTCATTCTCTTACAACACGTCTCTTAGTGCAGCTAACATCTCTTAAGTTTTTTTTGTTCCTTCTCTTATAACATTTCTCTTGGTGCAGTAAACGTCTCTTAAGTTCGTTTGTCCCTTCCTTAAAACATGTCTCTTAGTGCAATTCTCTTATAGCATCTTTTAATGCAATTCTTTTTTTTTTTACAATTCTTTTGGTTGTTAGATGAATACTGACACAGAGAAATTTTTAAACAAATCCTGAGAAGATATCTGACTTACCGAGGCAACAAAGCAATAAAGCAGGTGATGATAACAATAGCTGAATGTGAAGCAGACGCGATGGTGTTCTCCATGACCCAGTATGGGTTTGACGGATGGTCAAATGTGAAAAAGATGGCGTTGCTGATGAGAAGGAAGTTCCAGAAGATGGTGAAGCTGAGAACTATGGCTCCAAACTGTAACCACACCTGGATGTAGATAAAGGAGAGTCAACTTTTTCAGTCCCATGGGGTTTAGCATCAGAGGCTTAAAAGGTAGTAAAGACACACGTAAAACTGGCTCAAATTGAGATCATTGGGCTTTAAGGTAGCAACCTATGAACTTATGATGCTTTCCTTAGGACTGAAAGAGTTAAGAATTGATATCAAAGCACTCAGGACATTCACACAAAAGCACTCTGTCACCATCTTCAGCTGCCACTGTAGAGTTCCAATTCCAATGGTACCAGCAACAGTTTGAACCCATATCTGTCTCACCTTTCCTCTGAGTGCTGAGCAGCGGCAAAATCCCCTGGTCACTCCTTGCTGCACCATTCTCTCCAGACCGTGATGGTCTGTTGCCTCTTCCATACTGTTCACTTGCCCCAAGCTTGTCATGCATCAATTTACCACCAAGGGATGCAAAACCAGCCAACGTGTCTGCCTCAATATGTTTATCCAGGCATATCTCACACACTTAGGTATGTCTCACATACCACTCTGCATGCAGGACACCAGTTTCAAATGTCCATGCTCTGTAAGTCTGTTACATTCACAACATGTCAGGCTGTGCAACCCATCAAGAAGCTGCCATTACTGCCTCCATCTCCACTCCCATAGTGGAGGCAGCGATGTTGTACGTGAGGCTCTCTATTTTTAAGTAGTGTCCATTCACCTGTGCAATAAAACCCCACCCACTCTACTCACCTCTCACCACAGACCCATCTGTATATATTACGATGTCACCTGAGTGTGAATTTACATTGATCAGCTCTTGCAACGCTGATGCTGTTTCACCAGCTATCAATTCCCGGCACCCTCTGTCCAAGGTAACTAGCCCACTGTGCAAGACTTTTTTGCTGGGCGGCACTGTGACCCATTCTTCACAACTTGCTATCTTGTCAGTAGCACAAACAGTTCTGATTGTGACCTGCCTGTGCCATCCAAAGCCACCTCTTTTCAGCCGTTGTCCCTTGCTTTCTCCTAAGGCCTCATGCAGAAGGTGTTCCCTGTTTGTTGAGATTTTAAAATACATTTTTGCTTGTAAGACTTTGTAATTCTCATATATGGATGGTAATGTAAGTGTCTGCCATATACACACAATAAAGCCTGTCTTGTATAAACCCCAAAATGACTCACATGGCTTCATTCTGCATGTGAGAGAACTCTGAGACATTATGCAAGTGTTTTCCCACAAACACAAATGTCTATTTCACAAGATAACACCAGGACATTTTCCAAGTATTTTACCCCGCTCACGCAACCCTCTATTTCATGAGAGAGCTCCAGGACATTACCCAAGTGTTTTCCCTCCTCATGCAGACATCAGTTTCACAAGACAACACCAGGACATTAAGCAAGTATTTTTCCCTCTCACACAAACTTCTATTTCCCAAGACAACACCAGGACATTACCCAAGTGTTTTCCCCTCTCACAAAAACTTCTATTTCCCAAGACAACACCAGGACATTAAGCAAGTGTTTTCCCATCTCACACAAACTTCTATTTCACAAGACAACACCAAGACATTAAGCAAGTGTTTTCCCCTCTCACACAAACTTCTATTTCACAAGACAACACCAGGACATTAAGCAAGTGTTTTCCCCCTCACACAAACTCCTGTTTCACAAGACAACACCAGGACATTACCCAAGATCTGGTCTCTATACAGAACTGCAGCAGTATACTGAGGATCATGGCCACATCTATTGTGGTCCCAAATTCCCATAGCCCAACACTGTCATTTGCATATGCCTGAAACATTTTCAGAGGAAACAACAAGAGTGGTTGAGATAGTTTAACAATACAGTGGATGACAAATTAAGCAAGGGATGGTAGAGATAGTTTAACAATGGGGTTAATGGAGATCGGCAAGGGATGATTAGGTTGACAGTTTGACTGTACAGTGGTTGGAGATTCAGAAAGAAATTGATCGGCTGATAGGTTAACCATATTGTGGATAGAAATTCAGCAAGAGATGATTAAGATAGTTTAACAAGATGGTGGATGGAGATTCAGCAAAGGATGGCTGAGATGATGGTTGAACCATAGGGGTGATGAAGATTTGGCAAGGGATGGCTGAGATGATAGTTTAACCATTTAGTGGATGGAGATTTGGCAAGGGATGGGTGAGATGATAGTTTAACCATTTAGTGGATGGAGATTCAACAAGAGATGGGTGAGATGATAGTTTAACCATTTAGTGGATGGAGATTCAACAAGAGATGGGTGAGATGATAGTTTAACCATTTAGTGGATGGAGATTCAACAAGAGATGGGTGAGATGATAGTTTAACCATTTAGTGGATGGAGATTCAACAAGAGATGGGTGAGATGACAGTTTAGCCATAGAGTGGATGGAGATTCAACAAGAGATGGGTGAGATGATAGTTTAGCCATAGAGTGGATGGAGATTCAACAAGAGATGGGTAAGATGATAGTTTAGCCATAGAGTGGATGGAGATTCAACAAGAGATGGGTGAGATGATAGTTTAGCCATAGAGTAGATGGAGATTCAACAAGAGATGGGTAAGATGATAGTTTAGCCATAGAGTGGATGGAGATTCAACAAGAGATGGGTAAGATGATAGTTTAGCCATAGAGTGGATGGAGATTCAACAAGAGATGGGTGAGATGATAGTTTAGCCATAGAGTGGATGGAGATTCAACAAGAGATGGGTGAGATGATAGTTTAGCCACAGAGTGAAGATCCATCAAGGGATGGTCGAAATTATGGTACCATAGGGTGGCCTGAGATTCGGCAAGGGATGGCTGCGATGATGGTTTAACTATAGAGTGGATGGAAATTTAGCAAGGGATGGTGGAGATGACAGGTGGCAGCTAGAAATTAAGCAAGGGAGTGCATCCATGTGAGAGGTGAGGAACCAACAGTTTGTTTACAAATAAGCCAGATGTATAATATTAGTCTAGATGTATGTGCATGCAAAACTTATGTTCTGGAACAAGATTTAAGTCCAGAAGTGGATGAACAACCAGAATTTTCTGCACCAAAGATGGCATAGACGATGCTTCACAAAACTTTACTTTCATTAAGTAATATAGCCCTTTATGTCTGTATTTTAACCTATTAAGTATTTCTTGTTTCATGCTGACCTCTGCTGTTTATAAACTCAGTCGTCTTTGTCCACCGAGATTTCTAGTCAAAGTCTGTGTTGTATTCAGTATTCCAGTGATAAAGACTTTGGTCAAAATGTTCAGCTGTATTTGTGTAAAACTTTCCCATTCCTTTTGATAAGCTCCGACTGTTGCATTTAGTTAATTAAGTCTTCAAAGGGTTTAGTGTGAGGTGGTGAAGAGCCTCCATTTCATTGGGAAATGTTTTTTTTAAAACCAGTTCTTATTAAAAAAAAAAGGATGGTATACTCTACAGTATCTCCACCACTGCCGGCCCCAAACCTGGATGAGAAAGGAGGAGGGTTGGGCATGGGGCCAGCTTCTCCACCCAGTATACAATTATTTTCTACGTAAACTTGCAGGAAAAGATGCCTTCCCAAGAAACAAATGAGTCAAGTGGTGTATGGTGCACAGAGTGCATGTATGAGGGTTACGGATTGTCATGCATACTACTAGGCTCAAAACTGCTCATTACTGTGTATGTATGTATATATGTGGGTGTGTGTGTGAATGTATTTATGTGTATGCATATTTGAGTGAGTGTGTAGGTGTGTGTATGTGTGTGTATGTGTGTGTGTATGCACTAGAGTGTGCATGCATTTTATGACCCATGCTTTTGTGTTTTTTCTTGATATTCACAATATGCATATAAGTATTTGCATATATAACATGCTTTATTGATAAAATACAACTGCTGTGTGAAAGACGGGTGTTTGGAAATGCTGATTGTAAGACGAGCCTGTGTGCCCAATTTTTGACCCTTTGAAAATAAAGTTTGTTCGTTCGTTCATTAGAATCATCAAAAAGGCAATGAAATGGGAAACAGAAGGACAGAGAAAATGAGGACGCCAAAGACAACCCTAAAATGAAAGCTGATGAGAGAAGCCAAAGGTGCTGGACTAGATTCCATCCATGATATCAAAGTGAAGGCACAGGCCAGAACGGAATGCAGGAACAGACTGCAAGCCCTATGTGACATATAATGGCATAACAGGACAATGAATGAATGAAATGTATAAGCTGCAGTGGTAAAGAGGTTAGTATCCTTGCTTGCCAAGTCAGTAACCAAGAGGCTCAATAACCACTGTAAATAATCACAAGTGTATAACTTTATTAGGCAAAGTGCACATTCACTGAAAGCAACCACACAGGAAGCCAGATTTCACAAGCATTCTCTGAAAAAAAAATGTACAGTGAAAGAACACAATACATGATTGCTTGGGTTCAAGCAAAGTGAGAGACACTGACACACCATACACTGCTTGGGGCTCAAAGAGTTAATTAGTGAATTTCACACGTTGATCAGAACTTACCAAGTGAGGAATGAAGTAAATAATAAGGCTCTGATAGATAACATCCACTGTCACCACCAGGAAGGTCCACTGGGTGTACATCTAGGGACAGACAAACAATGGACATATTCAGCATCTAGAGCATACACAAGTAGAGAAACTGGGGCTGACCCAGGGTGACAGGGTACCAGTGGTGATTACAGTAGTAGTAGCAGTGGTAGTGGTTGTGATGGCAGCCATAGCAACAGTGGCTGATGACCAGTTGAATGTTAAATTGAGAATCAACATCACAGCACTCGGGACACTCCCATAAGCGCTCGGTCCCCATCTTCAGCAGCAAACAAAGAGTTCCAATTCCGATGGCACCAGTAACTGTCTGTATATCCCTCTGGCTTTTTCCTTGATAACCAGTGACTTAATTAACTTTAAAAAAAATTGATTATAATAATTATCTGCTGTTTTCATAAGGAAGGTAGACACCACTGCTCTCTCTCTGAGAATACTACATTGTGAGGTACCAATCTATTCCACGATGAAAACTCTCGGACTGCTGCCCAAAAAAGCATAAGTTTTTGTAATTTTAACCAATAAAAAATTAAATCTCAGGTCAACAGAAGTAAAGGCGGCCAGACAGATGCTGATTATATCACCCCCTGAGAACTAATTAGTCTATGAATATTTAGGGCTAGCATCATTTGCACAATGGGCCAAAAGTGTGAAAAAAAAAGCAGTTTACAGTTTTGAACTTATATACGCACTGCGATCCTTTTGATTGTATGTAGTTCAGGTGAGGACCTCAATGTGTATTTTGACAGTGGAAACTGCGCTAAAGGAATTCTTTTATAGAGCTCTCTGTTTCTCTTTCTCTGTTTTTCTCACCGTTTCTCTCTCTCTTTCTGGCTCTGTGTGTATCTTATCTCTCACTGTCTTTCTCTCCATATCTCTGTCTTTCTGCCTCTCCATCTCTCTAGCTGTCTCTCTGTTGTTATTGATAACAGGCTTGGTACTCTGAAAGATGAGTGCTTAGAAGGGCCGAATGTCAGACAGGCCTGCGTGCCAAATTTGAAACCCTTTGAAAATAAAGTTTGTTCGTTGGTTCTGTGTGGCTGTCTTTCTCTGTGTCTGTCTCTCCCTCAATGTGTATCTGTCTCTCTCACTGTCTCACTATGTCTTTTTCTGCCTCTCTCCCTGCTTGGCTGTCTGTCTCTCTCCCTGTCTGGTTGTTTCTGTCTCTCACTTTGGCTGCCCGTCAAGAGGTTAACAAGAAAGCAAGCATCTTACCTCCCCTCTCTGGCCAGGTCTGTAGAGACCAGGGAACTCCAGTAAGGTATGAGCATTCAGATCTTTGTCGAAGATGCCATTGGCTAAGGGCGGGGCTGCGGTGAAAATGACATGCTGCATTGTCAGGTAGAGACTGTCAATCATCAGAGAGCCAGAGAACCCGCTGAAGATTTGAAACCAAAAGAGCACCAGCACTGATAGCTGTGGAGTAAAAAACATCTTTTCAAACAACACAATTGTGAGCCATCTCGACAATGAAGGGTGGCTACAGAGTACCACTGTTGTCTTTGGGAATAGTGTGAGGTCCCAGTCACTTCCACGGTGCGACTCTTGTATTATGCAGACGAGCAACTAGCCTTTAACATAACATAACGTAACCCTTCACCTGCTAGGGTCGTGGAGGTGTATTGATGAAAGCACTAGCACATAAAGCCTGCCATCTTTCTCTGTCTTCCAGTAGATGAATAAATGTAAGATAACTTAGTCCTGTCCATTTCTTGATGCTGTTTTCCAGAATCTTCTTTGCCCTCCTCTTCTTCGACTAACCCCCAGTGTTCTTTGAAGTACAGTCGTTGCAATCAAATCATGTCTCACCATGTGCCCAAACCAAGCTAGCATGCCACGTTTGGGTCATAAGGAATTAAAATAATAATACCATGGGGCAGGAAAAAATTAACAAATGGTGAATAGCGGGATTAATATTGTAAACAGAATGGTGCATCAGGTGTTAAGGAGGTTACATTATATAATTAGCATGATTTCTGGGTACTGAATTTGGTGGGAGGATGGTGAAATTAACAGACCCACTATCTCTCAACAAGAATCTCATAAAAGGTAACTAATTAACCCTTTCGCTGCTGCGCCCTCCGCCAGCCAACGTAACCTCTGTGCTAAGCCAGGCGAGAGCTAATCTTTCCCCCTGTGCTGAATACCGTTTTTTCCTTCAAAAGCAGAAGACGCGCATGCGGCACGGGGTAAAAATTGTACACCTAAAATAAAGAATCGTTGAAGGCGCGTGGTTGAACTTTGCGCTGACAAGTCAGACGCGCTATTACTACGCCATGAAAACTCATTAACAAAAAGAAAACACTACAAACTTACAAAGCAAACACAAAACACTTTAGTAAGCAAATACATGGTTTTTATATTATTAATAATATCTTTGTGTGTGAAATATTTCAAAACAAGGTGCGACACACAATGCCAAATCACATTCCTTGCACATGTATCTGGTTTCCCGTCGTTTTTTGCTTTTTGCGCATACCACACACTTTCTTGTTGGGAATTTTTTCTGCGATGTTACGGACTCTAATATTGAAGGGAAATGGCTTTGTACTAAAAGAAGTGGCAGATCTTCACTTTTTTGTCCTCCTACACTTTTTCTCTTTTCCTTGCAATATTTCTGTAGAATTTCTCTTACTAACATTAAGTGAAATTCATCAACAGGTGTGTTTTTCCCCACAACAACTTTATATAATGAATGTGCACAGTACACCAACCACGCTTCACAAAGGAACAGGATAACGTGTAAAGCATCTAAATCCACCTGAACGCACGTGACAGGATGTTTAATTAATTATTACTTCGTTGATCTGTTGCCGAAAATGCTAAGAGCTTAAATTAAAAATTTGCATTTAAAATAATTAATTTAAAAAAAAAAAAAAACGGCATATAGGGGTTGAACGTTGGACCCTTCGATTGTAAGGCAGACGTGATACCAACTACACTAGAAATTCACATAAACTATAAACTGAAAAAAAAGACCAGTATTGTACACTTCAATAGACAAACACATTTATGTCAGTTGTAAAGTATATAATTAACATTAATATTAATCATCACGTCAGTACGTGACCATATTTTTATTTTGATTATTTTGGATCCGTTTCAAATCCAGTCGATGTAGATAGCTAGATCATATGGTCACTGGTCAGTCTTGTTCACAGCCAGAAGTACACGTGTCCGCCGTCGTGCCTCGAAGATAACCCAGCTCATATAACTCACATGCTTCAAAGTGATCCTTACTACTACTCCTTGAAAGAAACTCTATTAATTCTTCTTTATTTAAACAAATGTTCTTGTTATTTTGTATTTAAAAAAAAAATTTAGACTAACGCAAAACCAGTAATATATTTCAGGGCAAAAAAATTACTGTTCACCGACAATGCTTCTATGGTAACAAAGCAACAGGATAACGTGAAATGCATCTAAATACGCCTAAACTCACTTGATAAGGGTTTTAATTGTATGTAAACGGGTCAGTTTGATCAGATTAATGTAATGTGTATTGCTATTTCACCCCTAAGAATTATTGTTCTTAGCAATCTGTAAAAAAAATTTTGAGGACGAGATATCTCGTCCTTAGCAGTGAGGGCACAGAAAATGGCAGCCGAGTTATCTCGTCTTTAGCAGTCTGCCGGGCAGACGAGTTATCTCGTCCATAGCAGCGAAAGGGTTAAGGCCTGCCGAAACTGGATGTCATGGGCTGAAAGGCACAAATATTGATTACAACCTAGCTTAAACCATTAAACAACATGCTTACTGATCTTTTATGGGAAACATAAAGATAAGAACAATGAGAAGAAGAAAGGGGAAAGAAGAAGAAAAAAAAGAAAATAAGGAGGAAGAAGAGAAAAAGTAGAAGAAGAAAAAGAAGAAGAAGGAGGAGAAAAAGAAGGAGGAGAAAAAGAAGGAGGAGAGGAAGGGGCAAAGAAGAAGAAGTAGGAGGAGGATGAAGAGGAGAACAAGAAGAAGAGGAACGAGGAGGTGGAGGAAGACAGGAAGCAGAAAAAGAACAAGAAAAACATCAACAAGAACAAGAAGCTTGAAATAGCAAAGATCTGCTAATGTGAAAGTTGCCACACACATACACAAAAGGTGCACTATAAGCCAACCATGGTTAACAGATACTACATTCAAATTCAGCTTCCGGTCAGCACATACACAAACTGACCACATACCAAGCTTTTGTAGAACATCAATGCCGCAAACTTGGCCAGGCGGTCATGGTTCCAATGTCCATGAACAAGAAGGAGCCTCTCCAGAAACTTGAACTTGGCAATGGAAAAATCTGACGCCATCACTGCTTGCATACCCTCATGACCTGAGATTCCGACTCCAATATCAGCTGTTTGTATCATGCTGACATCATTGGCTCCATCGCCTGGGTAAAAACAATCATTTAGTCATTCTCAAGGTCACTCAACCCTTTGTACAATCATTCAATGAGTTTGCTAGGGCACCATCATCATCAAGTGCAGTGCTTTGCTGACTGGTGTGGACAATCATCGCTGATGACAGGTTTACCTTGTGATATTGTGAAGCAATGAATTCACTGCCCACGGTGATGGCAAGTGCGACTAGAAAGACCTGCCTGCGTTAAGAAAAATCATCCACAATTAGAGCCCGGAATTTCAAGGGACCATGTGTTGCCCATGCATCATGATCCCTTTCTTGGTGTGCCCTGTTTACTCCAAAGGAAAGGTAACACCAACATGTTTAGAAGCATATTGCAGATGCTGCCAGAACCTAAGAGCATTGCTCTGTCTGCCTGCATGTCAGAGCTTCCCTACTAGACCAGCCGCCAGCCAAGGTTAAGGGCCTGGTCTGTCCTGCCATAACATGAAATTTTCAAGTTACATTTGCTCTTCCTAGGATCAGTGACTATTCCTACAACAATTCCGTAAAATTATCAATGAATTGAGTTTGCAGTACTTGATCAGCGACTTTATATGTAGAATTTCTTCTGCATTTGCATTTAAAAGGATCGCTGACACACTGTGTTGCAGCTTACAGCTGTGTTACCATGATGCTATAAAATAAATATATATCATGATCAAGTATCTTGCCAACTGGTGTGAGTGATCATGCTTCCCCATATCCTGCAGTTTCCAATGTATCAATCAATTCCTGGGCTGATACCCCTCCATAACAGAACAAAAGATTGTCAAGAATCTTCTCCTGTTGTCTACTTCTTGGATGCAGACATGCTCAACCACACGTAGTGATGACCAGCACCAGGACTAAAACTAGTCAAGACCTACCTCCACCTTTCTATGGTCAACCTAGAAACAGATCCCCATCCAGAGGTCTGACTTTCTTCAGGCAGAAAGGATTGATGTTTCCTTCAAGGTCAGAGAACATTTGCTTGAGAGGCAAGAAACCAACACAGTCTGCACACAATAAAGCCAGATGTATAAAATGAACATGTATAAGAAACTCAAGTCATGAAACAAGATCAAAGTGCAGAAGTGGACACACACACACACACACAAACCGAGGACTTTCCATTATACAGCTGGTGAACACACAGAAGAAGAAGAAGACTACTGCTTTCTTTCTTTCCAGAATTCTTTCCTGTTGTCATGTAATGACCAAACGGTGACATGAAAACAAACCATAAGTGACTCACCAATAGCCAGTGTCATTTTCTTCAAGTTGTCTTGAACTAGTTTTACAACTGTGGCCTGTTTCAGAAAAAATATATTCAGCATTTTACACATTTAAAAAAAAAAAAAAATCCCATTCACCCCAAGATGTCAATTAACCCTTTGTGTACAACAGAACTTACTATGTAATCATTAGTTTTTCCAAATAACGTGTACTATTCTTACTTTCATTTAGTACCCTTTTAACTCTTTTGGCTCGTCTGGAATAGTGCTAGACCTATATTTTATAGAGACTAACTGGCACCTGATAGTTGACATGGCCCAGATCAACAACAGCCACCTTTACTTCCAGAACATTAACTGCTACCCAGTTTAGGATGGGTCGACCTAGAAATCAAGCCCAATCCTCAATGCGGATTTGAATCCTAGACCTTATGGCCAGCAAGCAAGCACCTCCATTGTATTCTACTCTGTGTAATCTTTTTTGACATAAAGAACAGAACCTAGTCTAGCCCCTTTGGCCTCTTTCCACAACATTCATCTCAGCATTTCTCTTGGAAAAACTAGTTTTCTCAATCCATTTGTTTTCCATGTCGGTGTCTGTCTGGTGATTCTCTGTCCATGCCTCCTCGTGATATGCTCACTATATGGCCATACCGATTTTCTTATAATTGTTGACACAAACAGTTATCCAGACCCTTCTCTTATTTCATCGTCTTTCTTGAGTTAATCTGATGTAATATTCATCCAATTTCTATATGGCATTTTTTTTCAAATGCATTCAACTTTCACTGCATGTCTTTAGTGGTTCTCCAACATTCCCTGGCATAAGTTAAAATGAAATAACATCAATATTAAAAATATGTAACTTGGTTTCAAAACTACATAACTTCCATATTTCTTCAAGTTTTTAAAAGCTGTTGTTTTGCCAATGCATCTTGTGTTATCTATCTAACTGTCTGTCTGTCTGTCTGTCTGGCTGGCTGTCTGTCTGTCTGTCTAATCTGTCTGTCTAATGTCTGTCTGTCTGTCCGTCCGTCCGTCCGTCCGTCCGTCCGTCCGTCCGTCCGTCCATCCATCCATCCATCTATCTATCTATCTATCTATCTATCTATCTATCTATCTATCTATCTATCTATCTATCTATCTATCTATCTATCTAGCCTATCTGTCTGTCTGTCTGTATGTGTGTGTGTGTGTGTATATATATATATATATATATATATATATATATATATATATATATATATATATATATATATATATATATATATATATATATATATATATATATATATATATAACTATTATTATTTTTATTATATTATTTTTACTATGTATATTATCTGACTTTCCTACCCGTTGATGAGCAAATATATTTGGTCACTAGTGCATAGGGCAGATGCTGGCTCTTTATGTCTTAGATTCGAATCCACACAATGGCAGATTTTTATAACTGACCTAAGCCACTTTAATCCAACCCAGGCTAAAATGAGTACCAAAAATGATCCTAGGAAATAAAGGTGGCCAACACGATGTTAACCACACTACCCATCACATGGCGACTGGTCTAAACAAATTTTGATCTAGCACCATATGCCCACCAGGTAATATCCTGGGAAGAAAAGGTGGCCACCATGGTGTTGACCATATCACCCACTGAGTGTCCTTTGGTCCATAAACAGTAAATATGTTTAACTAAAGATTACCTTTTGAATGGGAGTTGCCCGACAGCAGACAACAGATTGGCAGTGCTTGCAAACACTGAGGAATAAATGTTGCAGATCTGAACTGGTTGCAAATGCTAAAGTGGTGCCATCAATAACCAAGGCGAACTTCCGACGCTCTCTCTCTTCCGTCAATGAATACAGGGATGAAATGGATCTTGTGAACAGCGAAACCTGTGATCCCGTTCTGTTGCTCTCGGTCATGTCTTGTTGAATATCTGCCAGCATTTTGTCTTTGGCTCTCTGCAGCTCACTTCTTGTGGCTTCTATGCTGTCTGCATTGATGATAAGTGGTTCCTGGATTTCATCTTGTGAGAACAGGTGGGCTGCATATGCTATCTGGATGGCTGTTTCCTGTTTTTAGAATATATTGAAGTGAAACAGTTGTCACTGTGCAGTTCTGATATTATTTTTTTTTAAGCATAATTTAAACAATTTTATATTGTTGGTGGGGAAAGGCAAAGATAATCAGAATAAACCAGGTTGTTTTATGTTTTTAGAAGCCCTGATTGGAAACGGTTGTCACATAACATTTTTACTATTATGTTTTCTTGCATATTTTAAATAATTTAATAGTTTGACTTCAAAAGTACAAAGACAATGAGGATAAACTCCCCTCTTCTTCTCTGTATTCAGCTGCTGTAAGCTCTGCCCAAAAATTATGGTTGTTTGTCCACTGATGGACTTTGGTCTTGTTTCAGAACCTGAGCGCTGTGCGCCCATCCACTTGACAGATCTGGCTTACCTGTGTTCAGACTGGTGACTCTTTCCCTCTCAGACAGATGCACTTCGACCTTGAAGGAAACACCTCTAATTAGTCGCCCTTTACAACATGCTTGGGGCAGTGGCTCTACTAGTCTATCCCCCCAAATAGGGCCCTAGAACACAAACAGAGCAACCAGTCATATATAACTCAATATCTATTGGTGAAATCCCACTCCAAGATATCCAGTCATAATTTAGATAGTAATGTATTTAACACTAGCCATCTTTAGTTTCCAGGAAATTTTCTGACTTCCGTTTTAAGCTGGCTCTACCCTGAAGCCATGGTAATTAAAAAAAAAAAAACTGCCTTAATGATTCTTCTTCTTCTCTTGCTTTATCTTCTTTTTATTCTTCTTCTGTTTCTTCTTCTTATTATTATTCTTCATTCATTCATTTAGGAAAAACTAGCAAAAAATGTGACAATGTTCAATCTACAGAGAACAACTTATGTGGTTCTGGTTTTGTGTGTGCCAAGTTTAATGGTGTAGATTTGATTTCTTTGTGCCATGGTTAATGGCTTTTTCTTCACCTGCATTCACCATTAAAAGGATAGTTCGCACACTGTGCTGTAGTTTACAGCTAGGCTGCAAAGTCTGCACCTTTTGGTTCAACACATCCGATTTCAGCAAAGCCCCTAATTAGTTGCCTTTTTTAACAACATGCTTGTTAGAGCGGGCAGTGGGTTTTTGTCCCCTCACCTCCAAAATAAGGCCCCAGAACCAATACAGGGACAATGGGGAGTCAAACATGTGACTGCTCGACCTTGAAGTATGAATTAAATACCAAACTTGATTCCCCCTTTCTGACATAATGGCCTCTCCATTAATTGTTCTGAGAATACACACCACAGAAAACATACCACAGAATTCATACCACAGAATACACACCACAGAATACACAACACAGAATACACACCACAGAATACACACCACAGAATACACACCACAGATTACACACCACAGAATACACACCACAGAATACATACCACAGAATACACACCACAGAATACATACCACAGAATACATACCACAGAATACACACCACAGAATACATACCACAGAATACACACCACAGAATACATACCACAGAATACATACCACAGAATACATACCACAGAATACATACCTGCTTGTCCCCAGTCAGGACCCAGACTTTCATCCCAGCCTCTTGGAGTCGAGATATTGTCTCTGGCACACCTTCCTGCAACTTGTCTTCAATGCCTGTGGCACCTACAAGTAGAAGGCAACATCATATATCAAAAGCTGATGTCTGATGAGATTCAAGGACAATCTTCACAGCAGCATGTTGTATTCATTAGTCTTCATCTTCCTCTTCTTCGCATTTACCAGCTGTAAACTCTAGCAGAAAGTTCTAGTTATTCATCCACCACTGGACTGCAGTCCTGTTCATGAACCTGAGTGTTGCGTGTGCATCCATTTTACAGATCTGACACAAATGTATGCAGACTGTTGGTTCCTTGCCTCTCAGGCAGATGCACTCTGATTTCAAAGGACGCTCCCAATTAGTCGACTCTTACGACATGCTTTTGGGTAGGCAGTTGGTTTATTCTTATTTTCTCTATAATAGCGCCCAGGAACCCACAGGAAATATTACAGAAAGGATGCATCATTTACTAAAAGAATATCATCCCGAAAAAATGTCATTTACTTAAAGCATGTAATAACTGCTGGCAGCATGTAATAATTACTGGAAGCATGTAATAATTACTGGAAGCATGTAATAATTACTGGAAGCATGTAATAATTACTGGAAGCATGTAATTATTACTTAAAGCATGTAATTATCACTGAAAGAATGTAACAATTACTGAAAGCATGCAATAATTACTGAAACAACGTAATAATTACTGAAAGTTGTAAGAATTACTGAAAGTGTGCAATAATTACAGAGAGCAGCAATAACTATCGAGAGGAGTAATAATTACAGACAGCATGTATAATTACCAAAAGCATGTAATAATTACCAAAGGTAAGTAATATTTTTTTTTTAATTATGTAATACTCACTGAGAGCATGTCTGAAAGCATGTACTAAAAGCATGTACTAATTACTGAAAGCATTTACTTATTACTGAAAGCATGTACTAATTACTGAAAGCATGTACTAATTACTAAAAGCATTTACTAATTACTAAAAGCATGTACTAATTACTAAAAGCATGTACTAATTACTGAAAGCATGTACTAATTACTGAAAGCATGTACTAATTACTGAAAGCATTTACTAATTACTGAAAGCATGTACTAATTACTGAAAGCATGCCATAGTAACTGATAGGGTAGACTCACCAAGCAGGTCTAAGTTCTGCTCTATTCTACATGCAGATTCCAGTAAGAGTGCCTCTGTGTGTTCTATGGATAATTCTGCCTCTCTGTGCCCAATTATCCATTCCTTGAATTCCTTCTCACTTAGTGACTGTTAAAGATGGGGGTCAACATTATAATATTAGTGGAGAGCATTATAAACATTATGGCAGAGTCAATGTTATAACATTAGTGGCAGAGTCAACATTATACCATCAGATGTGTCAGTTGAGTGGCGTTGAGCTGAGTCTAGAATTAACATTACAGCACTCATGGCATTCCCATATGCGCTCCATCCCTATCCTCAGCAGCCAGCGCAGTGTTCCAATATTAATGGTGTCGGTAGTAGTCTGGTTGTATGTCAGAGGTAGTGTCAATTTTGTAACATGAGTAGTAAACATTACAATACTGTTGGAGGAGTCAGCTTTATATCATTAGTGGCAGAGTCAATGTTATAAAATTAGTGAGAAAGTCCACGATATAACAGTAGTGGAGGAGTCAGCTTTATAACATTAGTGGCAGAGTCAATATTATAAAATTAGTGAGAAAGTCAACAATATAAAAGTAGTGGAGGAGTCAGCTTTTTAACATTAGTGGCAGAATCAGTATTATAAAATTAATGATAAAGTCAACTCTATAATAGTAGTGGCAGTTATCATTAGTGGTAAAGTCAACAATTTAACATTAGTGGTAGAGTCAACATTAAAATATAAGTGGCAGAGTTAAGATAAGTGGTAGAGTCAACATTATGGTATTAGTGGTAGAGAAACAATTATAACACTAGTGGTGAAGTCAACATTATAATATTAGTGGTAGATTAAACATAAGTGTCAGAGTCAACATAATAATATCAGTGGTATAGTCAAGATTAGTCGTAGAGTCAACATTATAATATCAGTGGTAGAGTCAAGAATAGTGGTAGAGTCAACATTATAACATCAGTGTTGGAATCAACATTATAGTATTGGTAATGCAGTCAATATTATAATACTGGTGGTAGTCAGTTTCAAACACACACAGTATTTTTGGGTGGTTGTGGTTTTACTAGGCGGCTTTACTTTTAGTAGGGCATTTCTGAATCATAAACCAGGTTCATAACTCCTAAACCACAGACACCAACATAGGTGGTGGAGTCACTCTAAAAAGGACACACAAGATTTTAGAAATGCAGGTAAAAGTTTACACCTGCGGGATCCTCCTGATGGTGTGGGTGGAGTAAATATCAGCAGAACACAACACATGTGAGCAGCATCCTGGGGTACACACAAACCACAAAAGCCATGTGAACTGAGGTCATGGAAACAAGCTCAAGATATAAGCAAGCCGAGATCCTGTCATACCCCAAGCGTCCTAGCCAATGGTGTGGAAAACTAGAGTGAATATGCCTTATGCAATACAGGGTGGAATAGTGGTGGTTGTAATAGTGACGGAGTGATATTTCAATTGGTATTAGTGGTCTAATTTTTATTCATAAATTAATTGATTATTTTAATGGATCTCTAACGAAACCAGACTTTTAAAAAAACAATGAACTTGACTCCCAAGTCCTGGGAAGATACCATTGAGACGGCGGCCTCAGTCAAGCAAATACACAGGGAGCAGGAATGGATCGACACAAACACCCACAACAGCAGTTTCTATCAGGTCACTATCATGTTAGGAAGAGAATTTAGAGAGTGGTGTAACGGTATGGCAGAATTAAAGTTACACCAACTGATAGATGGAAAGGCTGGATGAGTTGATGAAGTAGTGTACACCGATGGTTCTGTTCATCGGGGTGTAAGATCTGGCTGGGGATTTTCAGCTAGAATGAAGGGAAAAATTGTGGCAGAACAAAACTGAGCTTTTTTATCTACAACTTCAAGCATGAGGATGGAAGTGAAGGTAGTCACTGCAGTTCTAAAGGGAATTATGGTGTCTGATTCTCAGTCCGTATGGCGGAAGGATCAAAACGGACTAATGTGGCATGAATGGATACCATGCATCAGTAGGCCAACATTGCAGGGAATCACGTGGATATACTGTCCAGGATATGCAGGAGGGCGAGGGATTAAAAGAGTAGATTTTCTGGCTGCAAAAGAGAAAGCTACGGGAACCCTCATTCTGAAGACCATATATGAACGACTTTTGGCAGAAGACACGAGATTAGATGAAATAAGATGGGCAAGAATGTGTGAACGAGGAATTAAGGGTGGATCCGGCAAAGAGGGTCGGATGACAGGAAGAGATCAGCGTGTGTATAATCAGTGTGCTACGGGAACAGTTAGCATCTACACCTTATGTCATTTGCTGCGGCAGATGGAGCATCTATGGGTATGTCCAGTGTGCTATGATGTCAATTCTTAAATCAGTAATCAGTAAAGGCGGCCGGTGTGATGCTGACCACATCACTCACTAAGTGCCGATTGGTCTATAAAATATAGGTCTAGCCCTATATTCCCAATATGCCTAAAGGCGTGGAAAAGGGTCTTTTACTTTTTACTTTATTCTAATGGTTCTACCTGAGAGGATAAGAACTATGTCACTGTTTGTTATTCTCTGCAGCTTGTGCAGTGTCATGCAGAAGGGAGAAAAATATGTCAGGGTGATCGAATGACCCTGTGAGCACCTCACCCTGGCCTTAACATTTCTCCTGCACCCCGACATTAGAACTAAAATGAACAAAGTTGTTTTCCGAGTGAACGCTAGAAACCCCTACGGAAAATGATTATCCAAGAGGAAGACATGTTTAAATGAGAAAATAACTTCACAGGATGGAGATACATTAAACTGCACCCTCAAAACAGAGTCAAACAAGCTATTTTGCTGCCAATTTTGACAATGAAAATGATAACTGATCTAATCAAATAAGTTTACCTTCTTTGCCATGCATAATGTACGAAGTCCCATTCTGGCATAACCATCAAGGTGACACTGTGTGCTCCGCAGCTCTTCAACAAACTGTTTATCTTCTGTACAAAGTTCAAAGCAACAAAAGATTTATCTTCTGTAAACAGTTAAAATCTCTGTTGGGTATGCTTTTCAGAGATAACCACGGCAGATTGCTCACCACAGAACAAAAACAAGACATGCTCTTCTCCGACCTCTTGAACAGACCTGATCCTCAAAATCCCCCAGATATTCAACCAGCCTCTTAGGACATTGACATTATTACTGAACCACCAAGCAAACAAGAAATCCTTAAAGCTATCCACACTTTAACGAACAACAAAGCACCAGGCAAAGATGAACTGCCAGCAGAACTTCTCAAAGTAGATCCCAACACAACTGCTAGCATTCTAGAACCACTGGGAAAAAGAAGTGTTGCCTGATGACTGGACCGAAGGAACAATAGTCCAAATCCCCAAAAAAGGAGACTTAACAGACTGCAATAATTGGAGGGGAATTACTCTACTCTCAGTACCAAACAAATATTTTGTAAAATCATCATAATGAGGCTTGAAAAAGGAATAGATAAATGCCTACGAGTAGAACAAGCAGGATTCAGAAAGGGCAGAGGAACAACTGAACACATCTTCGCCATACGCAACATTTTAGAACAATGCAATGAATGGCAGAGAAGTATATATATTAATTTTGTGGACTTTGAGAAAGCTTTTGACAGCGTACATAGAGACAGTCTATGGAAAATGTTATGACATTATGGAATTCCAGAAAAAATAATCAACATAATTGCTTTCTTCTATAAAGACTTTTTCCTGCAGTATAAAAAATTACAATACATCTTTCCCAGTAAAGACAGTTGTAAGACAGGGATGTGTTATGTCATCTCTCTTCTTCAACCTTGTGATTGATTGGATGCTAAAGAACACAGTAGACAGAACATTGAGAGGCATACGATGGACACCATTCACCATGCTTGAGGACCTTAATTTTGCAGATGATATAGCACTCCTATAACATAAACATAAACATATACAAGAAAAAAGTAACAGACTACACAGCACAGCAGAAATGGTGGGACTGAGAATAAATACAAAGAAAACTAAGATCATGACAAGCAGTCCAAACCAAAAACCAGTGACCATAAATAACCAAACTCTTGAAAATGTAGAACATATCTTGGCAGTGTGGTGTCCCTGCCAGGAGGGACTGAAGAGGATATACAGTCACGTCTGAACAAAGCTAGAGCTGCTTTTGGAAGGATGAGGCAAATCTGGAAATCCAACAATTACTGCAGAGGAACGAAACTCCAACTCTACAAGAGCATCATTTTGCCAGTTCTTCTTTATGGAGCAGAATGCTGGAGAATGACCAAAAAAGGATGCACACAAGCTGTCTACCTTCCACCACACATGTCTACGTAGAATTATCAAACTTTTCTGGCCAGATACAATCTCAAACACTAAACTACTACAAGTCACAAACCAAGAAACTTTAGACAATATGATAACCAAGAGAAGATGGAAATGGCTTGGCCACGTTATGAGAATGAATCCTGATATACCTGCCAAAACAGCTCTCACATGGACACCAGAGGGAAAGAGAAAACAGGGGGCGCCCAAAAACAACATGGAGAAGAACGATGGAAAGTGACCTGAGTGCGGCTTCTTTGACATGGAAAACTGCACTGAAGATTGCACAGGACAGGAAAGCATGGAAAGTCCTCTCTGAAGCCTCATGTGCCACTAGGCACAATGAGAACTGAAACAGTTTAAAAAAAACAGCAGTTTATCTTCTGTACAAGGTATACAAAAAAATTAAATGCATATCTTCTGTACACGCATAAAAACAACAGTTTATCTTCCTATACAGTTACATATTCAAAAACAAAACAATGTTTACCTTCTGTACATAGTTGAAAAAAAAAAAGGGTTGTTTCTGTACATAATCAAAAACAACAAAAAGACATACGAACAACTAATTAAATTTCAATCTCTGCATTTGGTCTTTTTAGAAATAGATGAAGAAGAAGAAGAAAGAAAAAAAAGAAGAAGAAAGAAGAAGAAGAAAAAGAAAGAGGAGGAGAAAGAGAAGAAGACGTGGAAGAGAAGAATAAGAGGAAGAAGCAATCACAGCTGACAGGGACTACCTCTGTATCGTGGATGTAAAACATTGAAGATACACGAGTCAGCTCCCTTCACAAACATAGTGATCTTCTTAGAAGATGGGTGCCTCACAATCACCGACATTCGCTTGCGGGTAGCATCAAAGTGGAGAATCTTCAAAATCTCAAACTCAGCCTCATCCATCTCATCTGAAAAGAATTATTACCTCATATATATACATACATACATACATACACCCACCTACGCAGGCACGCACGCACACACGCACGCACGCGCGCACACACACACACACGCATGCACACACACACACACTAAAACTTTGTTTTAAACAAATGAAAACGATCTAGGAAGGTACCTTGTACTTTTATCATTGTGTCATTTATTATTATCATTGAGTTATATTTTTTTATCATTGTGTCATTTATTATTATCATTGAGTTATATTTTTTATCATTGTGTCATTTATTATTATCATTGAGTTATATTTTTTTATCATTGTGTCATTTATTATTATCATTGAGTTATATTTTTTATCATTGTGTCATTTATTATTATCATTGAGTTATATTTGTTATACACAATATTTAAATACAATAATCTAGTCATTTTAGAGTTTGTTAATGTTTGTGTTGTTTCATTTCTTTCCATCGTTCTGCTGAGTCTGCCAGCCTTCCTGGCTGCCGATAATCCTCTGCATGGTGGTCCAAATTGAAATACATCTAAAAGGCACAGAAAATCTGTGACGACATAGTTTATGTTTCTGAATGACTGAAGTAATCTTGCAGACTGACTGCTTGCAATAATAAATAATAACTACGGTCAGCAGACCGCACGCACCTGTTTATATTGCTAATAATGTTTTGCCATGAAACATTCTGGAAATTTTTGCCACAACACAAAAGGCATTGAATGATAGCATGCTGTGGTTAGTGCACTCTAGCCCTAACCATAACTCTAACCCTAACTTCAACTCTTAACCTTAACTCTAATCCTAACCCCTAACCCTTACTTTAACCCTAATCCTAATCACTTCTAAAAATAATTCTACAACTTTTACATTGAAAACTTGGGAGTGATGAATTTAGGACTTCCATTAGGAGGATTGCCTGCCTGCATACCTACCTACCTGTAAATATTACTTAATACAAAATAATGAGATGCTTGTGCAACTGTATCTACGTGTTGGAATTCTTTAAATGTTTTGATTTCTGTTTAAAACAAGATACTTGTGCAACCTTATCTACATGTTGGAATTCCTTAAATGTTTTGATTTCTGTTTAAAACAATATATGTGTGCAACCTTATCTACATGTTGGAATTCCTTAAAATGTTTTGATTTCTGTTTAAAACAAGATACTTGTGCAACCTTATCTACATGTTGGAATTCCTTAAATGTTTTGAAATTCTGTTTAAAACAAGATACTTGTGCAACCTTATCTACATGTTGGAATTCCTTAAATGTTTTGATTTCTGTTTAAAACAAGATACTTGTGCAACCTTATCTACATGTTGGAATTCCTTAAATGTTTTGATTTCTGTTTAAAACAAGATACTTGTGCAACCTTATCTACATGTTGGAATTCCTTAAATGTTTTGATTTCTGTTTAAAACAAGATACTTGTGCAACCTTATCTACATGTTGGAATTCCTTAAATGTTTTGAAATTCTGTTTAAAACAAGATACTTGTGCAACCTTATCTACATGTTGGAATTCCTTAAATGTTTTGATTTCTGTTTAAAACAAGATACTTGTGCAACCTTATTTACATGTTGGAATTCCTTAAATGTTTTGAAATTCTGTTTAAAACAAGATACTTGTGCAACCTTATCTACATGTTGGAATTCCTTAAATGTTTTGATTTCTGTTTAAAACAAGATACTTGTGCAACCTTATCTACATGTTGGAATTCCTTAAATGTTTTGATTTCTGTTTAAAACAAGATACTTGTGCAACCTTATCTACATGTTGGAATTCCTTAAAATGTTTTGATTTCTGTTTAAAACAAGATACTTGTGCAACCTTATCTACATGTTGGAATTCCTTAAAATGTTTTAATTTCTGTTTAAAACAAGATACTTGTGCAACCTTATCTACATGTTGGAATTCCTTAAATGTTTTGATTTCTGTTTAAAATAAGATACATGTGCAACTGTTTCTACATGTTGGAATTCCTTAAATGTTTTGAAATTCTGTTTAAAACAAGATACTTGTGCAACCTTATCTACATGTTGGAATTCCTTAAATGTTTTGAAATTCTGTTTAAAACAAGATACTTGTGCAACCTTATCTACATGTTGGAATTCCTTAAATGTTTTGATTTCTGTTTAAAACAAGAAATTAAACACAGGGGACCTAGAACTCTGCCCAAGTGTACAGACACGATGGAATACTGAACATATGCTGCAGACAGGCTAGATGCAGCAGAAACATCCCAGGTCTGGCCTGTAAGTATTCAGGTGCAAACCAAACAGAATGGATCAACAGGAGGACATGCATCTCACCACAGCCTTCACAGAGGTCTGTGGTCTTCTTACCTTACAACCATTCAAAGGGAGAATGAAAAGAAGAGGAGCAGATCTCACAAACAAGTGAATGATTGCATAAATCACACCTATTTTAAATCTGTGAAAATTAGCAAGCTGACTAGACAAAGGCTTTCCCATGTGGATTCTGGTGCCCCACTGGGAGAGGGAAAAATAGATCCACTACTTCTTAACAAGTGAGTCGTCGTGGTGGAGCGGCTAGATGCTCGCTTGCGGGTCGGTCTTTTTTTCAAAATGACCTTGGCTCTCAGGTGGACCCAGCCTTGAGTGGGTACCGGGTGCAGCATTGGAAGTAAAGGCGGCCGGTGTGATGCTAACCACATCACCCATCTTGTGCCGATTGGTCTATAAAATATAGGTCTAGCCCTATATGCCTAAAGGAGGGGAAAAGGGTCCTTTACTTTACTAACTTCTTAACAAGCATGTTGAAAACTATAATTAATTAAAGCTTTTCTGAAATCAGATAAGTTGATCTGAAAGGCACAGATATCACAGCCTAGTTGTAAACCACAACCCAAAGTTCCAAGTGCCCTTATTAGGGCAAGTGCTGAAGAAGAAGAAAGAAGGAGATGATGATGAGAATGTTGACGACAGCTTCTAAAAACTCACACCTGGTAACTTAACCTTGACTTTTGTAGGATTTCTGTTTATCAGCTTGCAACCATAAGTGCTGGCCGCTCTCACAAGGGCCAGCTCATCGGGACTTTCAGCCTCATAATGCATTTCTTCAGACTGCAATGAAGTTCCTGAGTAGCTTGACTCTGAAGCTGTAACAATTATAATAACAAATTTAACAATAATTATTATGATTTTGGTTCGCACCTTTCAGTCCTTCCAGGCGACAGTGCTATACTGTGCTAGGGAGAGGAATGGGAATAACATCCCATAGGGATGGTAAGTGTGACTAGTAAGACCTGTTTACATTAGGAAAAGTATATAGTGTTGTAGAGATCATGTGTTGCAGCATGATCCCTCCCTCTCTCCGCCTGCTTTTTTTTTTTTTTGCTTCAAAGAAAAGGTAGCACCAACAGGTTTGATTAAGTTTTCAGGTTGCACTTCCTCCTCCTAGGATACGGAGAGCATCCAGTGTGCTCTCCCTCCCAAAACCAGTGGCACAATGTGGGATGTCAGGTTCAGTATATACCACCTAACAATCAGCATTAACAGAGAACAGGTAGTATCTGCTACATCTCAAAGGACATTGATCACTCCTGTCCATTGTGGGACCAGTCACAGTAACTGCACACCTATTGCTTTAAACCCTACAAATGTGGGTTTCCATGTCCCCATTGTAAGGAAAACAAGAACAGACCCACTGCCTCCCCAACAAACATGTCGTAAGAGTCGACTAATTGGAGGCTTCCTTTGAAGTCGGAGTAATCTGCCTGAGAGGCAAGAAACCAAGAGTCTGCATACAATTATGTCAGATCTGAAAAATTAAAGTCCAGAGGTGAATGAACAACCAGGATTTTCCACCAGAGTTTACAGCCGGTGAACGTGAAGAAGAAGAAGCTTTAAACACCTGCATCAGCCAGTATAAAGATAAGGTCATGACTCAAAAAAAAAAAAAAATTAACAATAACAAATTTGAGATATAAAAAAATATTTTGGTCATATCAAGCGTGATAATGGATTGGAAAAAAATTATAGCAGAAGGCATGGTACCAGGAAGGAGGGGCAGGGGCCGACCAACACGAAAATGGGCACAGGATATAAGTGACTCCTTGAGTATGAAAGTACATGAGGCAGGAGAGCTGGCGAGAGATGGAGTTTCTTTAAGGCAGACCGTGATGAGAGCAAAGTTCTGCAAAGGACCTGCTACATTATGATGATATGTAATACTCAATGTGCTTCCAGTTCCAGAGCCTGTTGGGGGAGGGTGGGGGTGAACCCCCTGCTTCTTAACTATATATATATATATATATATAAAACAAAAAAATGATGTATTGATGGGCACTCATAGAAAAAAGAAAGGAAAAAAAATATAACCTGTCACCTCTTAAAAAAACTGCCATTTGGAGGTGATAGATTCAATTCCTGGCATGGCAACTACAACTTTTGATTTTTATGTTGTCTAGTGTGTCCTTCTATGTTTCTATTTCTTTCTATGAGTGCCCATAAATACATTATCTGTTTGTTTATTAAATATAAAATGCTTCTATGGCCTCACAGGTTCCCCCTCTGTTTATTTAAGTACCCTTTAACTAGCATGTCATGAAAGGCGCCAATTTAGGGGTTTGGTGAATGGGATGTGTTGGGCTGAATGATGCAAATATTGCAGCCTAGCTGTCAACCACAGAACAACATGCCAACTGCCACTTTCAAAGACAATATAGAAGAAGCTGGTGCCATGGTTGCATGCATGGTAGCTAGTTGCTCACCTGGTGGTCCAAAGGTCTCGAATTCAAATCTGCATCATTATGGATTTTCTTACAAATTAAAACTGACTCTGGCTTACAGGTAACCCAGCACATAATGGGAATTAAGTAATGTCCTGGGAAGAAAAGGCAGCCAGCAGGATTCTGACCACATCACCCTTGCCATCATCCACCCCTTGAGGGTGACTGCTTTATAATAATATGTCTTAATGTTGAATGTTGAATTAAGAATCAACATCACAGCACTCGGGACACCGCCATAAGCGATCTGTCCCCATCTTCAGCAGCAAGCGAAGAGTTAAAATTCTGATGGTACCATTATAATATTATGTCTAGTATCATATACCTGATGCGACAATGGCATTAAAGGGTTCACTTACTTTCAACTAACTAACAGAAGAAAATACTCACTCAAGGACAAATGAGACCTAGATCTCTCATGATTGAGATTTCCAGGCAAATGTTTTCTCTGTGCATCTCGCAGTGGTGTTCTGGGTGTGTACAGGCGTTTGACTTTTTTGAAGTAGCTGTCGTCAATCTTTCCACTCTCATCCATCTGTTAACAGAACAGAAACAACATATTTCTTAAAGCTGCAATGTATTCCTTAAGCATAGCTAAGTAACATTAGAGGGTTGGAACTACACTTGACTACAGTCATAGTGTCAAATGACACATATGATTCTCTAATAGACAGCTAGAACACAGGTCTCACTGACAAATGTTTATTTGCTATTCTCGATTGTCGTTTGCCACCCATCACTTCTTATGATCTAGGGTTAAATGAAGAGAGTATACAGCACAATATCATTCAGCACTAAAAATTTACTCATACGACAGAATGTCCTGTGCACAATCAACCTTTGAAGACAATCGCTGGCAGGCTCATTTAAATATTCAATCACAATTGCCAGTCATCAAGTGGAGCTAGGAACCCACACAGGAATGTCAATGACGTTGAAAACGAACTTCTTCCTGGTTCAGTGGCTTAAATGTTTGCTGGCCAAGTAGGCAGTCATTAGTTTGAGGTAATTTGGATATTTTCTCCAGGGTGTGCAGGAATGTTGGGAAATGAACAAACAGACAGACCGGCCAGATCAGCACCAAAGGCTAGCATGACAATCTAGAAGTGGTCAAGGGTGGACAATATGGAGCCACAAACAGATCCTTATAGTCTGGACAAGTGACAAGAGGATCTAGTCAGCACTCTACATTCAGAGGTAGGCAAGAAGGACACATAATCAAACTACAACTGGCACTGTCAGAACTGGAACTCTTTACTGGTAGCCAAAGATGGGGAAATGTCCTGTGATGACAGTTCTTAATCAACACTCAAAACCCGAGGCAGATTTCTTAAATGACTTAGGTTCCCAGGTCAACCCAGCCTAAAATAGGTATGAGGAGTTATTATGGGATGAAAAGGCAATCAGCATGATATTGTCTTTGTCATCAAATGAGCCATAAACACATTAAACAGCTGATATGCAAGCATTATAATTATTTCAAGAGACTTGTCAGCCAAAATGCTCAGCACAGAGTTCCCATACTGACGGTGCCAGTTGCTACATGATTTTTTTTTTTTAAAACCTCCTGTTCTTCTTCCTTCCCACTGAAAAACATCAAAACCATCTGCCTACTCCCAAACCAGCTGCTGAATCAGTCTTTTGAGGTATGAATGCATTGTCTCTTCCACTGCACTGTCTACCTGATCCTAGAGAGCCTTCCTCACATTCACATTATCATAAAAGCTGAACAATAAAACGTGCTGCAGCAGCCAATCTATCATTCTACTCATATTAATCTGCACATCGACTGGTGTACAGAGATGAATGCTGTAAGCATCCCACAAAAGGCAATATGAGGTGCTTTGGACAACAGAATTGTTACAGTCGATGTTCCACGCCTCAAAATAAATGGCAGGGGCGTCAAGAATGACAGCAGACTGAGGTACCTGGGAATCACCTTTGACAGAAGCTTGTCTTTCAAGGATCACATAGAGGTGGTTGTGTCAAAGGCCGAAAAAAAAAAGACACTAAAGATTATGGCAGCAATGAACATGGAGCAGAGAATGCTGTTCACACCATACCAGCACTTAATCATCTCACTGATTGATTATAGAAAGGGTTTGCTCACTGTCTCGAAGAGTCAGTTAGTGAAATGGAAGCGCATACAGAATAAAGCTATGTGGTGATTCAGGGATGTACAAGAGACACCCCAAATTGTGTGCATGCGATACATCCCTCCATTGCTGACTACTGCAGATAGGCTAAAGGTGCTGCAGGCTAAGTCATACTTCAGAGTGCTCTATATGAAGTTCTGGCTGCAGGTAAGGGTCAGAGGCTGAAAAGAGGAAAATCGTGGATGGCTAAAGCAGATGACACAATAAGACAAGTATGCATGCTGGAGAACATTGGGCAAGGAGAGGAGTGGGTCAAAGTACGAGAGAAAAAGTCTGACTTGAGTAGAGTTATGATCACATTGAGTGCAGAGAGGCCAGCTGGTGCTATGGAGGTGGAAGTCCAACAGTTGATTCACGACAATTCATGCCTAGATGATCTGATTATATATACGGATGGTTCAGTGTTGAGAGAAAAGAGAAGTGCCTGGGCGTTCGTAGCAATAGCCAATAGAAAATCTTTAGTGCAAAACAGCCTAGAATACGACATCACAACATCTAGCATGAGAATGAAGGTGGAGGCAGTTACTGCAGCTCTTTGGTGGCTAGAGAACAAGATGTGAGAAAGGTGAAGGCAGGGATGCTTCGAGCAGAGTGACAAGCTTCACTGGGAAGGTCACGGGTTATGAGCATACTTTTGATCTTTTCTCCAGGGCATGACAGAGTGGTGAGGAATGAACATGCAGACAAACTAGCTGGATATGCAACGCTGGGTGGTGAACTGATACATGAAAAGGCAGATGTGGTCAGAGCTCTTTGGGAACAAGTAATGAAGTCAGAAGAGAAACTAGATTATTATGGGCTGGAAAGAATGATACACCTGTGTGTGACCAGAGGGTTCGACCGGCACACTATGCTCAGAGGAAAGGCAAGACGGACATACAACCAGACTATGACCGGCACCATTAGTACTGGAACTCAGCGCTGGGTGCGGAGGATGGGTACGGAGCACCTATGGGAATGCCCCGAGTGCTGTGATGTCAATTCTTGACTCAACTCTACTCAACACTTTAATCTGCACAGCCAAATATCCTGAGCTCCCCCCCCCCCCCCCCCCCCAATCCTTGATATTCTCTTCATCTAAGTCTCATTAAGCATTGCAAGCTACTCTACATATAGGACACCAATCTATGTTCGAAGCATGCTATGCGAGTCCGTTACAATTACAGTGCCTCATGAAGGCTACTGTATCAACAGATCCAACCATACTTACAACATCAGCATGCTTGTGGCGGGAGACAACCACTGTGTTGCAGACTGCCAGGAGCAGAAAGAACTCCTGGACCTGATGCACATGAGGTGGCACCAACAACGGAACACTGTCCAAAGTCCGCAGACTCATGAAGTGCAGTTCTCTCTCCAAAGCTGGTTCTAAGGATAGGTCATCTATAACCTGAAAAGTTGTAACAGAGACGGGTAGGAGGAATCCCATATATGTTGGTGTAGTTGTTTGTATGCTTGCTTACTAACACAAAGGGAGGCATTGGTAAAAATTTGTAAAAAAAAAAAAAAAAAGTTAAAGTCCCTTTTCCACGCCTTTAGGCATATAGGGCATACAGAGCTAGACCAATATCTTTATAGACCAATCAGCACAATGTGGGTGATGTGGTCAGCATCACGCCAGCCACCTTTACTTCCCAGGACTGCACCTGGTACCCACTGAAGGCTGGGTCAACCTCGGAGTCAAGGTCATTTTAAAGAAAAGTCTGGTTCCGCCAGAGAGCAAACCCACGACCTTCCAATCTGCACGTGAGTGTCTAGCCGCTAAGCCATGGTGACTCCCTATTGGATATACTATGCTACTTGTGTTAGTCATTGTAATAAAATGTAAAGTTTGTAAAGAGAACTATTTAATCTTATGTGTCCATTATCTTAAACAAAACACTATTTTTATTAGTTTTAGTGCATTAATTATGAAATGTGTTTTAAATATATATATAATTTATATTATGGCAAGCTTTAAAATAATATTTTTACTGTCTACATTTTTCAAAGTCATCATTACCCATTATCAAATTACTTAACTTTAAATGTATTCTTAGTTCTGTTTTACTTGATGTTACTGCAAAATTTGTTTTCCCCAACTGAAAATGTTTTTTTTAAATGGCAACATTTATTCTCTGACAATATTTTTTTTTTTATTTGGTAAAGTTACTGAACAACTAAGGCAGTTAGTCACTAATAAACTACAAACATTCATTAACTGGTGCCTGTGCATAATAGAGCAAATAAAATGGTATGAATGAATCACAAATATAGAGCTTTGGGAGAGAACTAAGCAAGTTCCAGTGGACCAAGAGGTGAAGCAAAGACTCAGGCATTGGATAGGACACAGGTTGAGAAAAACTGCACACTATTAATATAATTAGAATGTCTGCAGTGGGACCCATAGAAGCATAGAAATAAAGGAAAACAAAAAAAACAAAAAAAACAAAAAAACACACATAGAGAAGGGAGCTAGAGAGCTGCATGCAATAGCGAAGGACAGAACGACTTGATGTGAGTTGGCTGTATTGGGGGTTAAAAGGCAGAATAAGAAGAAAGTGACTTTTCCTCAGCTCTTTCTTGCACAACTCATAATGTGTAAGCGCCCAGGGCACATAGCCCTGGTTTTCTTCTGTCAGAGATCCAGGGTTTGTGGGTGTTCTTGTGGCAAAATTTACGCAGGTTATCTTTCTGTGTCTGTCTGATAACTGTTAAGTACCAGGGCAAGAGACTTTCACACCATGTATCTTCTGTCCAGCATGGCTCCAGCCACATACAAGATCTGCAACTCCTGTTTTAAATCATTGAGATGCTTCAGAAGCTCTTCCTTCTTCTTGCTTCACAGTTCCTTAGCCTTGACTTTAGTCATCATGGTTAGTATTCTGACTTAAACAACTGAGATGTGTCATAGATCCCAATGGTTGTTAATGTTAAGCCTTTAAGCTGAACCCCACTAAGACAGCAAACGAGCAATTAACACCCGGTTATGCAAGTGCAAAGCATGACTATTCAGATGAAAATCCTCCAGGTACAAATACTAGAAACCGTGTTCAACTGTAAAGTTATGTTGGGGTCCCTGATGGTTACAAAGTAACCTAAGTCCAGACAGAGTAGTGCGAAAGTTTACAAAGTTACTCTAAGTCCAGACAGAGTACTGTGATAGTTTACAAAGTTACCCTAAGTCGGGACAGAGTACTGTAATAGTTTACAAAGTAACCCTAAGTCCAGACAGAGTAGTGTGATAGTTTACAAAGTAACCCTAAGTCCAGACAGAGTAGTGAGATAGTTTACAAAGTTACCCTAAGTCGGGACAGAGTACTGTAATAGTTTACAAAGTTACCCTAAGTCGGGACAGAGTACTGTAATAGTTTACAAAGTAACCCTAAGTCCAGACAGAGTAGTGAGATAGTTTACAAAGTAACCCTAGGTCCAGACAGTGTGACAGTTTACAAAGTAAATCTATTTTATTTTGGGCTGTTTAAAAAAAAAAAATTACTAATTCAAAAAGCACACTGCCTTGTAAATTACAAAGCACATTTGTGCAAGATGTGAGCTTGACAGCTAATAAGGAAGAGTGTAAACATTGCAGACAATGTTATGATGGTGAGCTAATGCATTAAGTCCCCTTGATACTAATTATTTCACTTGAAAATACCTATCTTACTATATGACAATTTTTGACAAACAATATTTTTGCACCACATAGCTCTTTTGTCCACAAAGTGTGTGTGTGTGTGTGTGTGTGGGGGGGGGGGGGGGGGCGTGCGTGGCAAAATATGAGCTTGCTGGCTTATCAGGAAATAGTGTCAGAGTTGATTGGAAAGTTATATCCAAATATACAAACAAAATCAAACCTAACAAAAGCTTCTAAAAACATAAAAATCTTTTAACAGAACCACAACAGTTGAAAAATGTGTCACTGTTCTATCACTAAAGCTACTTCACAAATGCAACAGAAAATGGTACTCACACAACTAGTTCTGCTCAAGCTTGCAAAAGAACGTCTGCTATCATAATCGCTGCGACTATCATCTGCATCTGAGGAGTCAAATATATCAGATGGGTAAAGTACCCTAATTACCACCGCAGTCAAAGACCACTGGGAAAGCTAATTCTGGAAAACAAATGCCTGACACAGCTGCATGTGTTGACTGAAAGGAACAAATATCACAGCTTTGCTGTAAGCAGGCACAATGAAATTACACTAGAAACACACACAAACAGATCAACGAAGAAGATAAATCATCAGATGAGTTGGCTAAGGGCCTATGCTCCACAGGGAGATAGAAGGAGAAGGACTCTCAGTCCTTGTGCTACTCCTATATTACAGTAGGTGTTTTGCTGGAAAAAAACAATACAAATCATCATGTTCAACCAGCATACCCGAAGGGGGAGCTTTAGATTATAATTATGACTAGGTTATGTGTGCAATATAAAATGGCTTAGCACTGCAAGCCACCAAAAGCCCTGAAAAGGACTGCTGCAGCGTTGATGCGATCAAAGTAGACAGATCCAAATACTGTCCTGAACGGCAACAAAGTAATCTACCACTGAGCCAGTGTACAACCCGGTCACCGATGTGATTCCCATATTTTGCAATTTCATGTCTTTCATATATCTACGTTTTGCTCTCTTGCTTTCAGACTTTCTCTCCTATGTGGTTTTTAAAAGAGTGTTATGTCTTTTAATATGGCTGAAATGTTATTTGTCTCTTTTTGTATTTCTTTAGAAACTCTCTTTTTATTCCCATTGTCTTCAGTACCTCTGTAGTTGATATGTTTTTGTTTCCATTTAATATGACCTAATAAACAATATATATATATATATATATATATATATATATATATATATATTTTTTATAATGAAGAAGGGTTGAAAAGGTGATTATTAAAATAAATACTATTAATTCTAAGCGTCTGTGCTCATTTTCAATTTTTGCTCAAACTCAGTTCTACATTTCAGGTCATGATCAGCACTAGTAATATAAAGCACAAGCTTCAGATTAATTATAACCTGTTCATTTGTGAATATATATTTAAAATCCTTACAGAATATGTGTGAAATTACATAGGGAAAAAAAAAACATTTCAGAGACACAGAAGACAAAGAAGAAGAGAAGGAAGAGGGGAAAAAAAGAGGGGGAGGAGGAGAAGAGGCAGAAGAAGAACATCACAAAGAATAAGAAGATGATGATGAAAAAGACAATGATGATGAAGATGATGAAAAGACAATGATGAAGATGATGAAAAAGATAATGATGAAGAAAAATATGAAGATGATGCAGAAAAAGAGGATGATGAAGAAGGTGATGATGATGAAGAAGAAGATGATGATAAGAAGAAGATGATGATGAAAAACAAGAAGATGATGAACAAGAAGAAGATGATAAAGAAGAAGAGATGAAAACAAAAGAATAGGAGGAAGACACAGCAAAGCAGCTTTTTCTACTCTTTTTAAATCAAAGACCAGTACAAACCTGGCACTGTCACATGTGGATAGTTGACCCCGCCAACAGTACAGCACTTGAACTCCATCTTGTTCTCCGTCAGTGTTCCTGTCTTGTCGGAGAAGACATATTCAATCTGACCCAAGTCCTCTGTGATGTTGAGGGCCCTGCACTCCACAGGCCTGTCCAGCTCTTCATCGTACAGCTCAATGTCTTGCATGATGAAGTACACCTGACCCAGCTTGACCAGCTCCATGGAGACATACAGCGGCAGAGGGATCACAGACTGGAAGTAAAAGAGACTCTTGTCATGGCAGTCCCATTTTTAAATCATATGGTTTTAAAACCAACCTCCATCTCTGTGTGGTTTCTAGGGCCCCATCTTAGAGAAAGGGGGGAGGGTGGACACTCAGTGCCCCTTAACAAGCATGTCATAAAAGCAGGCTAATTAGAAGTGTTTTCTTAAACATTGGTACCTGGCTGAGAGGCAAGGAACTAACAGTCTGCAAGATTGGTAAAATGGATGTGCATGCAAAAATCAGTTTCTGAAACAAGACTTAAGTCTAGAATGCTAAGAAGAAGAAGAAGAAAAATAAGAAGAAGAAGAAACCAAGCTACACAGTTTTAATTCTAATGTTACTTTGGTTCTGCCATTTGCTAGTGAAAGCTGGAGAGCCAGTAAATACATGGAATGCAAGTTAAATGTATTCAAAAACAAATGCTTAAAGAAATTGATGAATACTAAATGAGATAAACTTAAGAACGGTGAAGAAATCACAGAAATGTCTGGACAACCACTTGTATCATCAGTTATAAGAGGAAAACTGCTTGCATCATCAGTTATAAGAGGAAAACTGCTGGTAGCAACAGTTATTAGAAGAAAACTGCTTGTATCATCAGTTTAAAGAGGAAAACTACTTATATCATCAGTTATAGGAGGAAAACCACTTGTAGTAACAGTTATAAGAGGAAAATTGCTTGTAGCAACAGTTATTAGAGGAAAACTGCTTGTATCACCAGTTATAAGGTTATAAGAGGAAAACCACTTATAGCAACAGTTATAAGAGGAAAACTGCTTGTATCACCAGATATAAGATTATAAGAGGAAAACCACTTATAGCAACATTTATAAGAGGAAAACTGCTGGTAGCAACAGTTATTGGAGGAAAACTGCTTGTATCATCAGTTATAAGAGGAAAACCACTTATAGCAACACTTATAAGAGGAAAACCACTTATAGCAACAGTTATAAGAGGAAAACCACTTATAGCAACAGTTATAAGAGGAAAACCACTTATAGCAACAGTTATAAGGCAAAGCAGATGGAAATATATTGGGCACATCATGAGCAGAAACAGAGAATCACTTAACAGGCACTGAAATGAGAAAGAAATAAACTCAGAAAACAAGGACACCCAAGTGAACATTGAGAGGAACATTGTTGAGAGGTGTAAGGGCACTGGACTGGATTCTATCCATGATATCAAGATCACTGCACAGAATAGAACAGAAAGGAGGACTGCGAAATGAGATGCTTGAGAATGACTGCAAACAAGACCTGAAGGAATCTTGTGGGGAAAACAAGAACTTATAAGAGCTATTGGAACAATACCCATGGTTATGTTCAATTAAAAAAAAAAACAAAGACTGAAATGGTTTGGCCACTTAATGAAAATGAAACCAATGATGTCATCAGTGAGAGTGTTAAAGTTAGTTGTGTATCCTTTACAGAACATTGCAGAACCAACGCCAGCATTTTTTGGCTGTTGTGGTTTTTCTAGGCAGATTTTATGTTCAGTAGTTTGCCACTGCTTTCTGAGCGGTCAGCTCACGGTACCACAGTTGAAACCTTCTCAAGACAAACCGTCCACAGCTGGGATCGAACCCAGCACTACAAAGCTTATTTGCAACGCCTAAGCCACAGACGCCGATAAAGAGAGTGTACAACCTGGAAATAGAAGAGGAAGACTTAGAATATGATGGATTGAAAAAGCATGGACTTTAAGATTGGCAGCACATGAGACAGAAGACTGGACAGACGGATACATTACCAACTGTGATGAGGTGCTGTGCATGGTCTTCACGATTACATAGTGGCAAGCAGAAAGTCCGTGCAACAAGGGACAGCACGAGATACTTGTGCCTAGTCGAGGAAGCGAGGGAAAGCCCGAGCTAGCCTCGTGGTCAGTCGATCATCAGAAGTCAGAGAAGACGGTTGTAGTATTTGAAGATGTCGTCTTTATGTTGCGCAAATGTTTAATGTTCGAAAATATCGCGAGTGAAATAAATGTGAATAATGTGTTGAACATGTGAAATAAATGGACGAGAATAAACTGACAGAATGTACCAAGAAGCTGAGCGGCGTTTGTGTTGTCAACCCTAGACGTTAAAGTTGGTGTAAATCAAGGTACATGTCAGGTCTACGTCAAGGTTCATTCCAAGTGTAGCATCGACTCATTCCAAGCAGACCACGCTTCATTTCAAGTAGACCAAGATTTATTACAAGTGGGGTGCTTGTCCGAAGGAAATTAGAAACCACGCGGACCATAAGCATAGGAAAACATTTTTGTTTCTTCCAAGGTAAGATAAACATGCGGAAAACAGTGTACTTCACCCGAGCAGAGCCTATAATTAACACAGCAAGCGCCGACAGGTCAGCTGCCAACCAATGAAAAACATCGTACCATGGAACACACGCGAACATAGTTGTGTGTGATCAACGTCCTGCCTGCCACCACACATCATATTACCAAGGTTTGTGGATTCAAGAAGTTTCATGTTCACCAGTGCTACACATCAGAAATATGTTAAATCTAGTTTATGAATTAAATCAGGTTTGTGACCATTATTGTTTCGCGGAAACTAGCGGACTATGAACTAATTTTATTTACAGTTACGATCAGTTTTCTTACTGCGGTGACATTTTTTGCATCGATTGTGCGTTTATGAGAATGGCATCTAAAAGTAAAAGGTTGGTAAAACATAAGAACACTTTGTCGCAAGTATCTTCAGCGACAACAATGAAAGATACATCGATAAGTAATCAGAAAATCAAGATGTGCATTTTTTGTAAGTACCAGCACAGTTCTTCAACTATCTGCGATAGAGATCCTAAATATTCAAGCTATATTGAAGACTTGGTCAATAAAAAGTGGCAAAATAAACAAAACAACAACAACCCTAAAAAATGCCATTTTTGCTCAGCATTTGGACATATTGTAAAACACTGTGTTGGGAAACAGATGTTGAAAGACAAGAAAAGATCTTGGTATGCGAAAACTAAGCAAGAAAGAATGGATTCAGAAGCTCTTACGTTACCTACTCAAGATTGTGCAGTATGCGACTGGAGGAAAAAACAGGGAAAAACAACAGAGCCTCATACAATTTGGATAGGAACATACCAAATAATATGTCCAGGAACTAAAAAGATAAAGAACGAAATCATCATTGCAGAATTAGAATCCAGCAAAAGCAATACGAGCAACAAAAGTGAATCCAAAAAGACAACAGCCACTGAAACAGAGAAAAACTCAAACTCAGAAACAATGAAAATTAATCAAGCAAAGGATATCACTGTTCCAACAATGACATCAGTCGAGACAAAAGAAACTCAATCTATGAAACAGCCAGATTGTGAAATACCACTGGATAGACAAGCCATGAATAAAGAATTTTCATTCTTAGAGGACAATAAATATATAGATTATGATCAATTCCACATAGCAACAAGTAAAAAATATCGTGGAAAGTCAACTAAATGTTTGATAAACAACAAACCAGCACAAATGCAATTAAATAAAAAATCAAATATCACTTTGGTTCGTGAAAAATTTATAGAAAAATCAGATTTAAGCGAAGACATGATTTACTGTTTAGACAGAGAAGATTTTTTGATGCGATTACAGACAGCTTATATTTATTTGAAGTCGCCCTATATATCAAAACCATTGAAAGTAGTGGTAACGAACGATATCGGAACAGATCTGATTCTGGGATACAAAGACTTCAACATTAGAGACTGTTCTGATAAAGATATAAGAGTCTGGGAACAAAGGCATCTCCATCAACAAAAATAACAGCTGATTCAAGGAAAATTACCATCAACTGAAGTATCACTATTTATTAACTTGAAACTATACAGCCCATCATCCTGAACATCTGCATCAAACATATCACCATGCATGAAGCTCAATATTATTATCAGTCAAGAAGCTACATAGAACCACCGGCAACCATATGACCAAAAGTAAACCTGAACAATCATCAAGAATTGACAATTTAACAGTCTTCATATTCAAGATTATTATCAGTCCAGAAGCTACATAGTACCACCTTAAACCAAACAATCAAGAGTAAACCTGAACAATCATCAAGAAGTGACATATTACTATTCTTCACCTTCAAGATTATCAAATTTCAATCAAAATCAGAAATCACCAACTGTACTGTACAGTGAATGAACAGAAACATATCAACCACTGAATTATTCAAATTTGAAAATCACTATCAAGGAACACGAAATTTTCTCTAGATACCTCAAAATCGACCATTGAAACATTTCAAAATCAGCAAATTTACGCAACACTTCAAGAGCATCTATACAATATCAAGATCGTCGAATACCAAACGTATCATAAAATAAAGAATGCGAGAATAATGAAGCATTCCAACTGTTTAAGCTCAATCAAGAACAACAAAAACGTCAGTATTACATCGTGTTTACACAATTGTGATAGCTACTGTAAAAGGTAGATTATCTTACATACCTAAAGTGTTTGTGTAATATTAAATTAATGATAAAGTATTTTACAAAAGTGCATAGACACCTGATGTCATTTATAAAAATCAGCCACAAACTGTGTGTATTAAACACCTTCCGTTTAATTATTATTTTAAAGGTGGCATATTAGTGTATGCAGTAACTGAACACTGTTAATAGTATTGTTTCAACTTATAAAATTATAATATTTTTAGTCAGTATATTTGCAAGATTACCAGCTATCCTACCAAAAGAGGCCCCAGAGCAGAACAGATTGTCAAGAGAACCAGGGAATGAGAACCTTAAAAGCAATCGCCAGAGTATAGGCATGACACACAGCCTGCAGGGATGGATCAAGATCAAGGATAGTTATTGGAATGAATGGGAATGAAAGAAAATAAAACAGGTATGAATGATGAATGAAAGATTTGTGGGTAGTATTTTAATAGTGTATATGTATTTTACTTAGGTTAGTAGTTCATTAGGAATAGTTTAGTATTCATGTAATAACAGTTAATAGTTCAAAAGTTTAAAAAAAAAAAAAAAAAAATTCTCTCTCCCCAGGAACAGCACAACCGAATTAAAGATTTAGCAATAGATCATATAGAAATCTTTTTCCACAGAATGATTTACATAAAGTCAATTTGAAATGTTTTGGCATAGGTACACAGCACAGGGACATGCTAAAGTTGTCCACCACATCCAAGATTAGGAACCATCTATAGTTATACTGATGCTGAATAGACATACTGATGGTAAAGAAAAAATGCACACATCAAAGCACAAGCACAGTAGAGGAGTTGAACTCATCTGTATCCATTTAAAGGGGGAAAAGGTGTGTGGGATTCCTTGGAGTTGAATACTCTGTTAAAGGTGATGTAGAGACTGGTGGGGAAACCCTAAACTCTATTAAAAATCATCCCAATAGTCATTTCATCTGAGATTCCTTGGAGTTGAATACTCTGTTAAAGGTGTTATAGACTTGGAGGAAACTCTAAGATCTATGAAAAATATATCTCAGCTATCATTGTTTTCATGTTAGATTCCTTGGAGTTGGGTAATTACTCTGTGAAAGGTGAGACTTTGGTCTATGAAAAAAATATCTCAACATGCATTATTTTTTCTGTGGTAGATTCCTTGGGGTTGGGTAATTACCCTGTAAAAGGTGTTATAGAGCTTTTGGGAAACTAGAAGCACTATGTTAAATATATCTTACCACTATCATATCGGCTAAGAGTCCTTGGGGTTTAACACCCTGTGAAAGGTGAGGTAGAAACATTGGTTAAATCCAATTTTCTACGTAATAAATATCTCAAAGCTGACCATCATCTTATCACTATCATATCGGCTAAGAATCCTTGGGGTTTAACACCCTGTGAAAGGTGATGTAGAAATATTGGTTGAATCCAATTTTCTATGTAATAAATATCTCAAAGCTGATAATCATCATCACTATCATCATTTCACTTTGAACCCGATAGAGTAGATATAGTGATATAGACAATACTACAGATGCATAGGTGTAAAGATGGTTTAAACTCTTCACCAGCTCAGTACAGGGAAAGCATGCAGTAAATACTAAAAGCAGTTTTAAAGGGCAGTAATTAAGGATAATCAGGAACTATAATTCCTAACAGTAATACATTTAAATTGATTTATTATCCCTCTAGTAAATATCTCAAAGCTGACCATTAACATCACCATAATCACAAGGATCATTATTTCACTCGAACATCATAGAATAGATATAGTGACGAAGTTATACTACAGATGCAATAGGTGTAAAGATGAGATATCTATCACCAGATCAGTACTTTAAAAAAAAAAACATACAGAAAAAATTTTTGAAACCAAGGGCAGTAATTGAGGTTAGATTTATGTTCCATTGAGTCATCTATCAGTAAAAGGGAAAATGATACTTGATGTTCCATAAAGTATCATTTTGTTAAAAAGGGGGGGAGTATGTGATGAGGTGCTGTGCATGGTCTTCACGATTACATAGTGGCAAGCAGAAAGTCCGTGCAACAAGGGACAGCACGAGATACTTGTGCCTAGTCGAGGAAGCGAGGGAAAGCCCGAGCTAGCCTCGTGGTCAGTCGATCATCAGAAGTCAGAGAAGACGGTTGTAGTATTTGAAGATGTCGTCTTTATGTTGCGCAAATGTTTAATGTTCGAAAATATCGCGAGTGAAATAAATGTGAATAATGTGTTGAACATGTGAAATAAATGGACGAGAATAAACTGACAGAATGTACCAAGAAGCTGAGCGGCGTTTGTGTTGTCAACCCTAGACGTTAAAGTTGGTGTAAATCAAGGTACATGTCAGGTCTACGTCAAGGTTCATTCCAAGTGTAGCATCGACTCATTCCAAGCAGACCACGCTTCATTTCAAGTAGACCAAGATTTATTACACCAACATTACATGACATGGGTTATAAAACTGGTAGTACATCAGACAGAAGGCTGTGGACACAGACATGATTACAATGCCACACAAGAATGGGCGAGAAGAAAAGGGGGGGGGGGGGGAAGAAGAGGAAGAAATAAAGAAAAAAGAAGAAGCAACACCAGCAGCAGCAACAGCATCAGCAGGAGCAAAAGAAGAAGAAGAAGAAGAAGAAGAAGAAGAAGAAGAAGAAGAAGAAGAAGAAGAAGAAGAAGAAGAAGAAGAAGAAGAAGAAGAAGAAGAAGAAGAAGAAAGAACAAGAAGAAGAAGAAAAAGAAAGAAAAAGAAGAAGAAGCAGAACAATAACAACAACAAGATGTTCACTAATCACTAGATAAACCCAGTACTGCCATGTGCGTCTGTCTCACCTGGAAGATGATGATGTATGTCCAGAATACAAGAAATGCCTGGTAAACTGGACTCATCTGCTCATCATCATCAAAAGCAACAAAAGGCACACGGTTGTTGTTACTATCTGTTATGTCGTAGTCAGCCAGCCAGATACCGCTGCCTGCACAGACAACAAAGAAATCAGATAAATGGAATACTATTTTAGATCATTGTGGTGGCCTGGTTATGGAGCGTACCCTTCCAGAAAATAAGGCTAGCGGGCTTTAACTCTTGTTCCAAATGAGTTATGATAGGTATTTCCCCATGCGCTGGGGTGAGCTGATGAGAGCCTGAGGATTTCTGGGCACTGTATCTCCGAGGGCCACCAACTTCAACATCCTGCTGCTAGCTCGGTTTAAACCCGTCTGAGACATTATCCGTGATACATGAAGATCCAATAAACCAGCACAGAACAAGCTGGCGTCCAAGGTGAGGTACAGAGTAACTCCTTATACACATCACAATGGTCTTAACTTTCCCTCATGCCTAGAACTGAAATCACCATGCCACCGTTGACTATGAAGACGCTAGGGTTGGAGAATTAGCTACAGAAAGAAATATTTTCAGTCGTGCTGTGACGAAAGCAACGTTCTGTAAAGAACCGACTGATCGATTATGATGAATTTAGATCGTTATCATGTGCTTTGTCAGATGGCAATGGCATTAGTACGTCTCTGCAGCTTACAGAGTTAGTCAATGAATTAAACAATTTCATGATCCTCAATTACCAGAGTTCGATTTCCACAGCAGAAATTTTTTTTTAAACCACTATAGTGGTTTTCAGACAGTAGTACAAGAGCTGGTTAAGAATGCTGGCCTCTCATATGTGAGACCCAGTTTTGCATCCTCGATAAGGTCACAAATTTATTATGTCAAGGGCAGCAATAAAATCCTAACCTCCAGAGTCCATGGCAACAGCAGTTGGCATGTGGTTCTAAATTCTCAGGCCCAATGTGAAATGTGAAAGTGGTAAATGTAGACTGTAATTGGCAATTTGGCAGTACAAGTGTCACGCCATGGAAGTGTCTGGGGCATCACCACACATTTAATATTCCCAAAGACAGTACATAGTTCAGGCGAACTTTCTAAATTATCCTAAGAATATATTTTCATTGGGGAAATGCTAGTACTGGACGTGTAGAGGAGGTAAACACGTGTGCTAAGCACCATGATTCCAAGTACATGATTAGTGAACTAAAAGGCCTAATCACACCTCTTTTCGGCCCCAGTGGACCAAAACTACTTGTTTCTTAGAATTAGGGTGGTTATCATCATCATCAAGTGCCTTGCCAGCTGGTGTAGGCATTCACAGATCTCGGTCTTTGGTGTTCTGGATTATGGTGGTGCTAAACACAAAAGGTACTTTTCTGCAAGAGCCAGAAGGACACGTTGTTGGGTTGTTTTTTCCGCCTAATTTCTAACAAGTTCAGTTGTTGAGCCAAGCTGAAGTTTTTTTTCCAAATACAGTGGTGGGTTCACTGTAGCTTACCCTAATTGTCCAGACAGCATAGCATGGCAGTGAAGTCTCTCTACAGATCCTATTATTTTGGTTTTCCAGGGTGTCTTCTGGGCCCATGGGGGAGGGGAATAGACCTACTAACCCTTATCCTTTAAGGAACTCATCAAAGGCAACTAATTAGGTTTTGCTGAATTTGGATGTGCTGGGTCAAAATACACATATGCAATGTTATCACAATCAACGTTGCTGCACACTGAGCATTTCCATGCCTGCACAGTCTTCTGATGCAGCAGCTCCTCCAAGGTATTTCTTCTGATGGTTTCCAGAAGCTGGTCAGAATGCCTCTTATCTTGTCCTTCATGGCGGTATAGAAGTGCTTCAGATATCATAATAAACCACATTACAACGTGCCAGCTGCTCTGTTAAGGATGAAGACAGAAGGAGTATTTTGGATCAATTCTGCTGATGATATTCCACTTGGATTGTGAAATAATTTAACTAACTCATAAACCACAGAGCCCCACATGACATGCATGCATTAAAGTGTCATCATTATCTGCTGGAATTATGGGCCTGGAAATAAACAAGCAACCTCTGCTGCTGCTCTGTCTTTTCTTCTTAGTCTCTGTTTCTGTCTTTCTCCTTAGTCTGTTTCTATACTTCTATTTCCAAACATCTCTCTCTCTCTCTCTCTGTATGACTCTATATCTTTATACCTCCCTCTTAATTTACATTTTCACTTCCTACTTCTTCTTTACCTCTCCTTATCTCTCTATACTTCCCTCAACCTCCCTTTTTTATCTTTTTTCTTCTTCTTATTTATCTCTCTGTTTCTATACCCCTCTCCTTACATTTCTATTCCTCTTTTTTCTTTACCTCTATCTCTATACCTCTCTCTCTATTTACCTCTCTATCACTCCCTACTTTTCTCTCTAATTCTCTTTACCTCTCTCCTTCTATCTTATCTCTCGCTACCTCTCTCCACCTCTACTTTTCTCTCTGCCTCTCTTTTTATCTCTCTAAGTCCTTCCTTATCTCTTTACCACTTTACTTTTCTCTCTACCTCTCTCTTTATCTCTCCCCATCTCTCACTCTTTATACCTAGCTCCCTCTCGTTATCTCTCTTTACATCTCTACCATGATACTTTTATCTGTCCCTCTCTCTCTTTACCTTTCTAACTCTTTTCTTACTTTTTCATTACCTCTCTATCTTTCTCTCTCTCTCTCTCTTTCTCTCTCTCTCTCTTGAATATGCAGTAATGAAAATGTTTACTCACCAATCGCACAGAAGAAACAAAGAAAAAGAAGCAAGATAATGCACCAGATAACATCCCGGTTAATCTGTGACTCCAGCCTGCTGATCTTGTAGCGAGGACCCTTGTTGTTCTGTATGGCCTTCGTCTCAGAGCCTACAATAAACAAACATATGAGATCACATTTATTTTAAACAGTAAAACATTAGGGCCGGCAGTCAGTCAAGTATTTAGGAGCTGGCAGTCAGGCTTGTAAATCCTTACAGGAACAGAAAATAACTACCTGCAAAATGTGCTGTCTCCTGAAGGTGGCCAAAGACACAAGAATGGACCCGCTCGCTGCCTACCCAAAAGGTACGCTGCAAGAGTCGACTGATTGGGAGCTTCCTTTGAAGTCAGAGTACATCTGCCTGAGAGGCAATGAAACAATTTTCTGCATATAAATGAGTCAGATTTGTAAAATGAATGTGCACGTAACACCTAGGTTCTGGAATAGAACTAGAGTCCAGAGGTGGAAAACAACCATAACTTTCCACCAGAGGTTACCGCCGGTGAATGCGCAGAAGAAGAAGAGAAAAGGTTGGGACAAGACCATGCCTAAATTACACTGAAGGACAAAGAACAAACTGGTTTGACCATCTAGTGAGACTGTAGCCAGACCACACTGTCTTTGAGACCTTCTATAGCAGAACATCTGGATAGAAGGTGAGAGGTAAACTACGAAAGACATGGACAGACAGCAAAGCTGAAACCAGCAAAAAAGGTTAACAAAACCATCACTAAAGCTACTGAAGAAGGGCAAGACAAATACAGAAATATATAACACTGGGCTAAACCCAGTAAAGTGTGACAACAAAAGAAGAAGGAAAAGTCCAGCTACGATATTATTGCTTTTCAATTAACCAGGTGCCATCTGCAGATGAATTTCAACACACACTGTATGTTCTTGTAGTTTTGCACTCTCTGAGACTGCTATTCATCAATCTATTAATGTTATCCTCCCATTTCTAACAGTGACTACCTCTTCTTGCTTGCCTTCAATTTTTTTCCCTTCACATCTGGTTTTAACAGAGTATTACCTTTTAGATTTCCAACCAACCAGGGATGATTATCATGCACTGTATGTACACAAGTCCTCAAAGTTTGTCACTCTTATCCAAGAAAGTTGGGCGCTCGATTCACTACCCATGGATCAGAGGGAGTGCTTTATATTTTTTCTGTTAGTAGAAATTCATCACAGCTCATACTGTGAATCAAACTAAATATTTATGGGCCTGAAGCAGACTTTATAACCTTTCAACTAATCCGCACCCCTCTCCCTGATGCAAAAATATAATAAGTGATAATATACAACACACAGACTGAAGACTTCAAACATGTGGATAATTATTTCTTCCTCATCAGATGTGAAGTTTAGATATATCAACTGGAGAAGCATGATGTGAAAACCATGCAAGAGCTCATGATTGCTGCATAAACTAATAAAGAACAAAAGTTATCAGCGTAAAACACAATAAGAAATGTTTAGGAGAAGATCAGAGCACTTTGGATACACCAACATACATTGAATAAAGATGATCTTGAAATGAACAATGAACAATTAAAAGAAGTTGAATCTGTGTCTCTACCCAGGTTAGTTACTGGATATAAGGGTGCATCCTAGAGCTAACAGACATAAAATTTTTGGTTAATCAACACAGAACATGTGTGGCCAGTTATTTTATGCTCGGGCAGCTACCAAGATCTGAGCATCCATGGATCTGTACAGGAGCTGTGATGATGGTCCTCACTAATCTCTAGTGGAGACAAGCATTTTTCATGCAGAGTGGCAAGCACAGCTTCAGAGGTCCTGGGTGTGTTAGCTTTCTTTGGATATTTTGTCAGGGATAAGTAGGAGTGTTTGGAAATGAACGGAAAGACAGATCAGCTGGTTCTGTACTAATGGGTGGTGAATTTATGCACTATAAGTTAGATGTGGTCAAGGCCCTTTAGGAGCAAATGAGCATGCAGAGGCACAAATCGATCATAAGGGTCTGGAGAGAATGGTAGGTACAACTCATGAAAGTCACCCCAACTTGTCAGCCTTGAGATTTCGTACAGGATTTCCCGGGTCACTCCTTTAGTCTAGAGATGTCATGTGTTCCTCATTTTGAACATATTAGGCATATCCACCACCAATGACAGCCACCGCCAAAAAGCGTAAAAATATAAAGGATTGATATAAATCAATGATTTGATACTCAGGAACTGTAGCGCCTTTGGTGCTTCCCCCGCCCTACTACTTTCTTGCACTCAGGCACCCTCAGCGCCTGAGACCTACTCAGAAAAACACATTCCAGAAACAACAGTCGTTCAAAGAAAAGAGAGTTGCGAAAAGAAAGCTGCACACTTTCATCTTCGACACAGTATGTCAACCATGTCGAATGAACCTGAGCAACTTTTCAGCATGCTGTGTACAGACAGCGAAGGAACATATCTTATAACACCCTAAAAACATAGGACAGCCCGTGGGAACATCTATGAAATCTTGCAGCTGATGAGATGGGGTGATTTTCATGAGCAATACAACTCAGAGCGACCAGGAGATCTGGTCGACAATCTACACTCAGAGGAAAGCAAGACAGACATTTAATCAAACTGCTACTGGCACCACCAGAATTTGAACTCTTCGCTGGATGCTGAAGATGAGGACAGCGTGCTTGTGGGAAGTACCAAGTGCTATGATGTCAGCTCTTATCTCAACACTAATCACTAAACACACAAGTTGTTACTGACAAAAACTTACCTGCATACACCACCATTCCTTCGACAAAGTCTGTGTTTCTGATGACACATCCCCTCAGTAGAAGATTGGAGTTGTTGAGAAGAATCTTCTCCTGGCCCTTCTCTCTGAAGTCAATTAAACAATTGTGTGTTTATAGTCACTACAGAGGAAACTATGTACAGTGACACCTTGGCTAACAAGTTACCAGGCTAAAAAGTGACCAGGCTAAAAGGTGATTAGGCTGACAAGTGACCAAGTTAAGTGACCAAGCTATCAAATTGTTGGGCTAAAAAAAAGATATTTTTGCTATTTTTCAGCCTCAGTGGTTGTATTGTAAACTGAATTTTTGCACCAATTATGTTTCAGCTATAGAAGATTTTGGCTAATGAATGTGATTCTGGAAATAAATTTTTTCATTAGCTAAGGAACCACACTACAGACAAAACTGACAATATAATTAGAATGATCATGGCCTGAAATCCACAGACATTGATTGAAAGGGAGACCAAAAATGCAAACAGAGAAAACAGTTTCAGAGAAATGGGTAAATATGATATGGAGGACATGGAATCAGTTACTTGAGAAGATTACAAAGATAGAAAGGCTTTGGTAAAGGTGGTTGTGGGCTGATAAATGCCAGATACTATCAGGATACTGAGCCTATGGGAACCACAAACTCTTGAGACCAACTGTGATCTTTGTTTAGGCTTAAAAAGGCCTTTATACTGAAAAAGGATTTATCTGTGGTGCATGACTTGATCTGTGGTGAGACGTTACAGGCCAACAATTACGTTACATTTAAATATATTTTAACATTATAACCCGGATAAAAAGGTGAATGAAGACCTTGGAGCCACTTCAAATTCCAAATTTTTTTTCAACATATAGAAAATCTGAGGCTTTAGCATATTCTAGGTCACAGCATAATGAGGTTGGGTGACCATATCCTGTTTCTCAAAACTTGTTTCCTAGAATTTTGCTGAATTTGGTCAAATGCACTTAATAAAGTTAAACACTAGTTAAAAAACTAAAATGCACCGATGTAGGGAGCTTTTGAATTACTCTGCAGTATGGCTAAATAATAAGCACAAAGCACGGCCGATACTTACAGATATCCTCTAAAGGAATAGATCTCTGGATTTGGCTGTTCAACAAATATACTATACGGGAACTGGGTTGGAGAAAAATCTGCAGACTAAAAAGGATGAATAATTGTTAATAATGTACATTACTAGTATCATACTTTGAACATCTCACCATAATGTTAAATCACTACTGCTGTATGGATGTGAAAAATGGAGATTGACTACAACAATTAACAAAGTCAATGAAAGAGAATTGTGCAGGAGAAAAATCTGCACACTGTAAGAAACAAACAACAGATTATTATATACATTTTAAGTATCAAACTTAGAATATCTTATTGTAAGGTTAAATCACACTGCAGAATGGATTTGAAACATGGACACTAAACAATTACAATAAAGAACATACATTTTTTAACTGATATCTACATATAATAAAAGAACTAAAATAGTGTGAAAAGTGCAACAGAACAGACTCAGCATTCATACCTAGAGGGACTGATTCAGCAGGCAGTGAGCAGAGCATCTTGACAGTTTTTAATACACAGGGGAAAAGACAGGCAGATTTTTAATCAGGTTGCAAGTGACATTTTCAATATGGTAACTCAACAGGCGACTTGCCCATCTGCAGACAGAGACTGAGTTATATGGGAGTGGTATGGGCTGGGTAAAGCAGCTGGTTGCTTCTAAAGAAGATGCTACTGGACACTGTCATGCTGTCACATGCAACAACAAAGAACACTGTCACATACAACAAATGGTACATAAAAGAACTGGCACATACAACACCTGGCACATGCAACAACTGGCACACACAACAAATGGCACATACAACAACTGGCCCATACAAAACTATCACATACAACAAGTGGAACATTCAACTGTTGACACATACAAAAACACTCATATAACACCTGGTACATGCAACAACTGGCTCACATAACAAATGGCATATACAACAACTAGCACACACAATGCCTGGCATATATAACAACTGGCTCATACAACAATTGATACAGACAACAACTGGGTCATACAGTGACTAAGTCACACAACAAATTGTACATACAACAGCTGGCACATACACCAACTGGCACATACACCAACTGGCACATACAACAGCTGGCACATACACCAACTGGCACATACAACAACTGGCACATACACCAACTGGCACATACAACAACTGGCACATACACCAACTGGCACATACAACAACTGGCACATACAACAACTGGCACATACAACAACTGGCACATACACCAACTGGCACATACACCAACTGGCACATACAACAACTGGCACATACAACAACTGGCACATACAACAACTGGCACATACACCAACTGGCACATACAACAACTGGCACATACAACAACTGGCACATACAACAGCTGGCACATACAACAACTGGCACATACACCAACTGGCACATACAACAACTGGCACATACAACAACTGGCACATACAACAGCTGGCACATACAACAGCTGGCACATACACCAACTGGCACATACAACAGCTGGCACATACAACAACTGGCACATACACCAACTGGCACATACAACAGCTGGCACATACAACAGCTGGCACATACAACAACTTGTGAACACAATAACTGGCTTATACAACACCTGGCACCTAACAGTTGACACATTCAACAACTGGCCCCTGCAAAAATAGATCATATTACAAATGGCACATACAACAAATGGCACATAAAATTGGCTTATACAAAAACAAAGAGCAAACAAAACCTAGAGACAAAACATCATGACAACCAACCTCTGACACAGGAGGAGACAGCCTCACAACCTCCCGCTGTTTCAGGTTGGATTCCCCGTCAATGTTGCTGGTCTCCACATGGCACACTCCATGAGGGTCACTGGAGCGTATGAACAAAATGTCCGCAGGTATGACAGCGTTACAGGAAATGTGGACGAAATCCCCGGGATGAATCTTTGACCATTCTGTTTTCAAGTAATGCTTTTCTGAGCTATACGAATTGACAAAAATATCAACTTGATGATTCGCAGACAACTGTTAATTCAGTCGCATTTTTACTTCTTCCAACTGTTGCTTCTTTTTCTTCTTCTTTTGCATCTTCACCTGATTCACCCTTACAAGAGTCTTTTTCACATTATAATTTTTACAGCTATGCTGTGATATTTGCCCAACACATTTAATTTCAACACACTCCTAATTAGCCACCAGTCAGTAGGTCTTTATTTTTCCTTTCCCAAGAATAGGGCCCTAGAAGTATACTAACATAACCACTGTGTCACCATGGCAACAAGTATGGCATTGTGCTGCTGGGGTGTCTGTAGATTACCTCCCTCCCCCGGATAGCAGCCAGAAGTGCGCTGTGTCAGGTCTTAGGGAAATATGGATTGTGGTTCCCCTTTGACACGTAGCTGAGGTGGGACTCACAGTGTGATAATTTCCCGCCACCAGACTGCCTGCAGGTTTCGATGAGCTCTTCTTGGCTCTCAGCATGGCCTGAAACATGAGTCAAAATGGACGTTAGGCAGCAGCACTGTGCGAAACAGAGGCAAATTTTTTGCTTCTGCCAGACGGTGGCCGATGCATTTTTGCTCCATTTGTAGACTGGATATAGTTTCGTCCCCCAGCTTCTGAGTTGAATACATGGCGTGACCCTGTGAGCTGCGGATTGCATTTGGAATGTTTTTTCGACTGTGACCAACGTATTGGTGTGAATTGTAGATTCAGAAAATGGCGCGATGCCTGTCGTGCAGTGTTGTGGTGCCCGTATGTGATTAAAATTGTTCGCGTTGGCAACTGCTGATCTGTTGGCGACTTCTGCTACCATCAATGATGAACTGCAATTCTAATACTGTGATAAACATTCTGTGTGTTTTTCGTTGGCACAGGAGCGGAGCAAAGATGGGGCGACCCGTTTGCTATGAAGCTGAAACTAAGACTACCAGACTACCAGTTGAGGCAACTGGATCGTCACGTACTAGTCCCTGTGCCTTCACGATAGTTTCCGGTATTCAGGTGGTTAGCATACTTGTTTTCACTCCTAAGACTGTTCAGCACCTCTCCGGCTCCTTCCCTCCCACAGGGGGGCAGTACGGTAAGGTGCACCAGGCTTTTTATCGAGGTTTGCTTCTCTAGATCCATTGTGTTTTGCCTGGGGATTGGCACCCCCAGTTAGCAGGACTACCTCGGGGAGGGTGTGGCTCTTCGCCACGCACAATGGGGTAAGAGAGGTTATGCTAGGTCAAGAGAGATGACACCGCAATGGACGCTCCTTTCGTGAATAGATATTCACTAGACCTAGGGTGACGTAAAGGGGAGAAAGCACTACCCACAACACCAACACTTCTTACCCCCTGCCCCTCGAAGCTCAGTCCCATCGCAACAAGTAAAGTGACAAACAAGTATACCTGCCAGCCACTGTCATTTTGGCACCAATATGTAAAGTGACACACAAGTATAACATACCAGCCACTGTGTCATTTTGGCACCAACAGGTAAAGCGATATATAAGTATAACGTACCAGCCACTGTGTCATTTTGACACCAACATGTAAAGTGACATACAAGTATAAAATGACAGCCACTGTGTCATTTTGGCACCAACATGTAAAGAGACATACAAGTATAGCATACCAGCCACTGTGTCATTTTGGCACCAACATGTAAAGTGACATACAAGTATAACATACCAGCCACTGTGTCATTTCGGCACCAACAGGTAAAGTCATGTACAAGTATGTTAGGCCAGCCACTGTGTCATTTTGGCACCAACAGGTGAAGTGACATTATAACATCTCAGCCACTGTGTCATTTTGGCACCAGCAGGTAAAGTCAAGTACAAGTATGTTAGGCCAGCCACTGTGTCATTTCGGTACCAACAGGTAAAGTCATGTACAAGTATGTTAGACCAGTAAAGTAAATATGTTTTCACTTTACCGCCACAACTCTCATAATAGCAGTTTTCAAAAATGCATTGCTGTATATCCTCTACAGCCAAGTTCTTTATCTGTAGTCTGTGAACCAGCATTGGTCTGTGAAAAACTCTTGGTGCACACTGAAAAGTATCCACTCAATCATTTAAGAGCTACAACTGAAATCAAACAGCTCAAATCAAACAGTGACATTTATCACATGTCTTCTTCTTCTTATCTTCTTCTTAGCATTCACCAGCAGATAACTCCGATGGAAAGTTCTGGTCAATTGTCTACTCCTGGACACTGGCCTTGATTGAGAACTTGAGTTTTCCAAGCAAATCCATTTTACAGATATGGCTTATTTGTATGTGGACTATTGACTCCTTGCCTCTCAGGCAAATGCCCTCCAACTTTGAAGGAAACATCCCTAATTAGTGGCCTTATATGACTTACTTGTCGGGGGAAAAGGGGAAAGGGGGGGGGGGGTGTAGATTTTTTTAATTCTCTAAAATAGAGCCTCAGATCCCATATAGGAATGCAATATGATAATAAAACTAGCTACTAATGGAAATACTCACATAGAATACACCATACATGTGTTATTGTTTACTGCCTTATCCATATGGAATCGTCGTATATCCTCGTAAGCATCTTTGACAGCCGTAACCAGGAGTACAAACACCACAGGAAGAGCTGCAACCTCCTTAGCAAATGCCTGCACTTGTGGAATCCAGTTTAAAACCACAATCAAGATGAAATAAATGTTTGCGAAGCGATGAAACTGCTCAAATAAATTTTTTGGCAGAAATGTCAGAAATGTGTACCTGGTAGTCCTAACAAAATTGTCCGAGAATTGATAATTCGGATGTTCTTTAGTTCTGATACTGATTTTGTCATCGACTAAGTGATTTGGCACCACTTTTCTGAATTCAGGTCTTATACTTCTTTGTATCACCAAACGATGTAAGATGTTTCCCATTATTCACGATGTTGATAGTAATCTTTCAACCATGAATAGTTACTCAAAACTCTCTCTGTGCCAGGCAGTTGAACATTCAACTTTTTCTACACCAAGGGTTCAACTTGAAAGTAATAAACTCCTGACTCTAAAGGGTTATACAAAAACAAACAAAAAGACACTATCATAAAGGATATTCAACAAACAATCTGAATAGGATTTCATTTAAGCTTTT